AATCACTTCCTGTGGTGGTGGATAGCAACCAAAACTCTAAAAAAGTGGTATAACTACCTCAGGATGGATATGGGGAGTATATAGGAAACATAAATATTTATGTTTATTATGCTAGAATTGTATTTTTAACTATTGTGTACTGTATATACCATGTAATTGGATGTTTAAATTTTTTTCACATTTTAGCAGGTATACAGTTAATTTGAATGTCTTTTTGTTTAAAGGAAAATAATACTTCAAGTTGAGCAACTTAATTAGAGAAGTGTTGCCCAAATCTAGAATACTCCCAAATCTGAAGTGTTCTGAGCATGAGCATGACATAACAGGTGGAAAATTCCATTCTTACCTGTGATGGGCGACAGTCAAAACACAAAAATATCACATACAATGAGCTCAGGATATGTATGAAGAGTAGATATGAAACATACATGAATATCGTGCATAGATTTGGCCCCTTCCCTCAAGATTTAGCTATGCATTTGCAAATATTCTAAGATCCAACACATGCAACTCTTCTGCTCCCAGGTATGTCCCATGATACCCAGCTCCCACTAGCTCCCATCACCTAATGGCAGTACACATGTGAAAATGCACGCCGGGGTCATGGGGCTCAGTGGGTCAAGGCATTTGCTGTGTGAGCCTGGTGTGCTAGTTTGCTTTCTGTTGCTGTGGTAAACACGATGACCAAACCAGCTTGGGGAGGAAAGGGTTTGCGTCATCGTTTGCTTACAGGTCACAGCCCTCGAGGGAAAGAAGTCAGGGCAGGAACTTGAAGCAAAAAACCATGGAAGAACACTGCTGGATCAATTCCTCTGCCAGCATTTTGCTAGACACACAAAAGACAAAATTTTTCCTTTTTGAAAGCAAATCCTTAACTTGGTATTTATTAATTGAAAGTTTTATACATTTTGATTTTATATCCATTTACTGTTACTCTCTTCTAATGCCTGTAGCAAGCTTTCTTTGGGGCCTCAACCAGCTCCCAAATCCTGACACGAAAACTTAGTTGTGAATTAGTTCCTTACGAATGTTTGGCCTTATGCGTGTTTCACTAGCTCTTTCAACTTAAATCATCTTGCTTCTTTTCATCTGTTTGTCTCAGGACTTTTTACCTTCCTTTCCTTCTGTTTTGTTTATCTTACTTTCCTGCTGTCTCCATGGCTGGCTGACAACTGCCTGGCTGCTGGTCCCAGTCCTGTTCCTAGGACTGTCCCTGTCTTTCTCCCTTCTCTCTCCAACCTAGATTTCTCCTCCTACTTGTTCTTTGACCGCCAGCCCTGCCTGTCCCTCTCCTACTTAGCTATTGGGCATTTAGCTTTTTATTAGACCAATCAGGTGCCTTAGGCAGCAAGGTGAAACAAATGCACCATATCTTTCCATTTTTAAGTAATTACAGCATAAACAAATGTAACACACTTTTACACAATTAAAGTAATATTCCTCAACGTAAGCAAATGTAACACACCTTTGCATAGTTAAAATAATATTCCATAGCAAATGCTCACAGTGCCATTCCTTTTGTTAGCCAACTTCATGCCCTTTTTATTGTTTATTAATAATTCCCTGGTCTAATTACTGCTTCCTGTTGGAGCATGGATGTGGGGGCCATCCACTGGGGCATAGTCCTCCTTTTCATTTAGCTTTTTTTTTTAAATTTTTAAACATTTTTTAAAATCTTTATTTGTTTAGCTTCTCATTACTGCCTAGCCCCACCTCTCAGAGGTGGTACTGCACACAACAATGGGCCAAGCCCATTGTTCCCGTATCAGTCAGCAGTCTAGATAACTCCCCAAGGGTCTCAGGTCAGTCTGATCTGGGCAGTTCCTCAAATGAGACCCCCTCTTTCCAAGTGACTAGTTTGTATGAACTTGACCGTAAAAACTAACCAGGACACAGTGACCCAAGTTTGGTTCCTGGAACCCATGAGAAGGCGGGAAGAGATGGCTGATTTTATAAGTTGTTCTCCAGCCTCCACATTTTGCTGTGCCCTGCTCACTCACATACATGTTATGTACCTGTGCGCACACAGATGAATACACTAGTCATAAATTAAGAAACGAGCTCTTTTGTTTTTGAAAGCAAACACTCGTTTCTGGACAGATAAACAAGTCTAATAATTTGGTAAAAATAGAGTTTCTTTGAGAGTGGGTGAAGCTTTGTTAGCATAGGATATTGGTGAGAGGCAATAAACAGTGAAACGCATGCTAAGGGCTAGAGATTATTTGTAGAGAAGATCACAAATTTTAATTTAAAACTCTTGAGATTGGGGTGGAGGGACGATTTTTTTTATTAGATTTTGTAAGTCCTGCTCAATCAGGTAGTGCCTGAGAAAGTTTTAAACGTCTTAGAAATCACCTTTTATTTAGTTATGGGGGGGGGGTTCAGGAAGGGAAACGCCTCAGTGTGTCATAGAGCCGTCTTCATCCTGTTCCAGTCTGTTTGTCTATCCTCCATGCCTCCTCCGCAGTACAGAATTGCTCACTCATGCTGTATGTCTGCTCCATTAACTGGCATATTTCTGTGGGATTTTGTAAACGCTGCCCATGACATGTCATCGTGTGTTATCACATGTCAGAAGACAAGGTTCTTTGTATATGAGGCCTCCTGTCCCCGTGGCCTATGTTTATTCAAATGTCCTCATCTGTAAAAGTGTATTCTTTTCGGGAGACTGGAGAAAGCAAAGGGTCAAGAAGACCTCAGTTGAAGATGTACTTTACTTAAAGTTACCATGGTAACAACAGTGTGTGGTATTTTTCAACAAGGTATATGTGGAACCAGGTAATGGACTATTGTTTTGTGATGTGAATGCCACTTTGAAACCCAAGTCAGAACTGATTGCCTGGCTTGGTTTTGCTTCTAAATAGGTTAATCATTCTCATGTGTTCATTTTAACTTGATTTTCGACATAATTTGTAACTGCAGCATTTCTAGTCCCAAGCAAGTGATGCTTAATCTCAGTCTGTTATCCAACATTTTGCTAGACACACACTGGTGTGGGAAGTCCTTCTGTATATGTGTTGCTTTTATTGGTTAATGAACCAATAAGCTGCTTTGGCTTGCGATAGGGCAGAGTAGAGCTAGGTGGGAAAACTAAACTGAAAGTAGGCGGAGTCAGATGGAAGCCATGGAGCTGCCAGAGGAGAAACGTGAGCCGACAGCTGGAACCTCATGCTAAGGTCCCACCTGGCCGCTCCATGGCTTCTCCCTAACTTTGCTTACTCTCTCTGTATATCTCTTTTAGCCTGGCTTTACTCTGTTTAGCCATTGGCCGAAAGCAGCTTCTTTATTCATTAGCCAATAAAAGCAACACATGCAGAAGGACTTCCCACATTAACACACACACGCACACACTAACTCTTTCCTCTTTTGAAAGCAAATACTTCATCTCTCTCAACACCCCAGTACCCTCCCTCTCACCTGACTTCATGACCTTTTTTTTTATGTTGTTGTTGTTGATTGATAGCTCCCTGGTCTAATTTAATGCTTCCCATGTCAGCATGGATATGGGGGCCTTCTACTGGAGCACTGACAGTCTACTAGTGGCCATACCCCAAAGGAGAGTGACATTCCCCCAGCATCCAGCCACCAATTGCTAGTAACTCTTTCACCAAGGGTGGGATCTCAGAGGCCTGTCCCCACTCATGCTAGTATTCTGGTGATTATTCATTTCCAAGTAACACTTAAATTGCTACTCCTGTTTCTAAAATGCCCTTTGTAACACTTATGCTCAAGGAATAATCATACAGAATAATTCATCCTTCTGTTCCTTCCTAGAAATTTGTATAAAAGTTTGATTATTTTTATCCCACGTACACATGGACTACAAGGCCATCAAATGCTGGAAACGTTTTGCATTTGAGAAGGTTTTCTCAATTTAAGTACAGCAGTGTTTTTCAGACTGCCTTGGTTCTCAGGAGCTTTTCATTCTTTGCAGTAGGCCAACAAAAACAATAATTCCCACCAGCATTTGTTAATTCAGATGTGTTCCTGTGTTTGCAATCATCAACAAATATATAAGACATATCCTGGAACTAGCTCTTGTAGACCAGGCTGATCTCGAACTCACAGAGATCCGCCTGCCTCTGCCTCCTGAGTGCTGGGATTAAAGGCTTGTGCCACCACCACCCAGGGAAAATTTTTTAACTTTTCCTCTTTTATTCAAGTTTTCAAGTTTCTTAGCAATACTAGCATTTTATAGGTATCACTGTGCACTAAAGCTTTTTAGAAGGGCTGGAAATATTTATTTGAGGCTGTCACATAATTGATAATCTCTTCCCATGCCATGAGAACATTGACAGTGACACAGTTAAGGATTCTAAGGGCCACGTGCTTTAGATAGTAAATGTTTTTCAAAAATTTCATCAGAATATGTAAAACTAATTTTTTTTTTAAATAGTAATCCCAAGCTCCCACGGGGACTTTTTGGTTAACTTTGTTGCTTTCTATTTGGTTAGGTAGATGAAAATCTTTACTAGTAAAGAATTTTATAAGATTCCATTTGGTGGAGGACACCATTTGTCAACTAAGAGTTCTTCATGTTCATGGTGAATATCCTGTGAATGCCGATTTGGGCTATGTTGAACTATTTTATCCCAAGAATATGCTGTTATTTCCTCAGGACACAATGGGAAGGCCATCAGAAGTAGTCAACTCTAACCAATTTGACAACAGTTCTACGGCACGAGGCCAAGGAAATACCTCACTGTCTACAGAACCCCATGAAAACAGCCCCTAAAATTCTTGGTAGATACTTTCTCCCTGCTATCTTGCCCGCTCTGGCTTTTTCATACTGCTTCGAAAAAAATCGTCTTTCTGCCTTTTTCATGGTGAATTCTTCCACTGCCGTCTAAGATGGCAGGAACTTCATGTTTGATGGAAAACTTGGCAACAGTTATTTTTAACATTGTTATGTTGTACGCTCAATATTTGCCAGGCGGTATTTTAAGTCTCGCTGTGTGGGTGAAATGAGTTGATCAGTTAATTCTCTCAGGAGCTCCGCCATGGGCTCCCTTTATTATTCCTTCACGGTGCACAAGGAAGAAGGTAAAGGAAGTGGTTACAAAGGATTTTCTCCTATGCAGGAAAATGAGCACTTCTGGCTTATAGGTCTTTGTCTTAGGAAAACACAGAGAACGTGTAAGTCTACCACTTCTGACCACGGAGTCAGAGCCTTGGGAGAAAAGGGGCCTATGAAGCACACTGCAAAGGCAGGGCTTGTAAAGGGAGGTGGGGCTTACTAAGGCGCTTAGGTGGCTAGATTAGAATTCTCTCTGCCCATCTGTCCTAATTAGCTTACCTCCCTGCTTCCATAGTGTCCCTGTTAAGTCAGAAAAGAAGCCAGAGCTACTCTGAAAGGACGAGTTTTTCTTTTCTTTTTTTTAAACTTATGTCAGTTGACAATGGTTGTAGAGTGGTTGCCCGCTCCCAGACATAGACTTTTAACCGCGAGGCTTTTTCTTGTTAACGTTTGTTAGTGGAAACCTCCAAACTCCGGGTGCTAATTTTGTCATCTCATTTCTTTGGTTTTGGCCTAAGTGATTATGTTTCTTCTTTTAGGGAAGATTTCTCTGGGTATTTTGATATTTTTTGTGGCAGGAGGAAACCTTGTATCATTCTCAGGTAATTCAAAACTAATACTTGTTTTCTTGAGTACCTTTAATATAGTCAAAATAGTAATATTTGACATTGCTGTTATTGGACAATATGACTATTAGTCTTTACTATTGCTTTTTTGAACTGCTTTAGATTTAGAAATCATCTTACCCACAGGGCGGGAGACCCTCACTGCTATTGGGGATGGAGAGGGAGGAGAGGAGGGAGTGGGGTGAGTGGGAGGGTGTTGGGAGGAGGGGCGGAAATGGAAACTTTTGTATTTTAATAAACTTTGAGAAAAAAAAATAAACTAAGCAGAGAAAGAAAAAAAAAGAAATCATCTCCCATGATTTGGGTAATAATTCCTAGTTCAAAGCTTATATCCTTGTGCTGAAATTTGGTGTGTACTTTATTTTAAAAACAATCTTGAATTAAAGGATTACTAGGTAAATGGGAAAAAGCTTGAGTACGTCTTCCTTCGATGTGCACGCGTGTGTTTCGAGCATTGTCTGAAAGGTTTAACTGGAGCAAACGTCAGCTTGTCTCTCTTTGCTGCCTTTTGTCCTGCCTCTTCTTCCCGGGAAGCCCCCGGTTCTGTTTCCAGGCCGTTCTCCGTACTAACAGACTATCTTTTCTTCAGAAGTGATACAAGAACCCACGCGTGCAGTCTCCCTGCTCCTGCCTGAGAAGTCCATTGACCCTTCCCTGCCTCCCAGAAACAGGCAGTTTTTGGAGCCCACAAAGGCAGAGAGCAGGTGGCTGCTTAGAAGGCGGAGATCGATTCTGTTCCCAAATGGAGTCAAAGTTTGCCCCAACGAAAGCGCTACGGAGGCGGTGGCCAACCACGTGAAGTATTTTAAAGCCCGAGGTAAGCAGATAGCCAAACCCTTGGACTCCTTCATGATACTCAACCATCACATTTGTTTGCGCTTTTATAGTAAAAATGTGAAAATGAACCAAATATTAGTGAGAAATGGGTTTAGTCATGTTAATATAAATTGAGAGAAAAGTGTAAATTATTGTAATAGAAAATATCTATTTTTTTAGTGTCATTGAAAGCACTACTGTGTTACTGGATAGATTAAATATAATTTTTTATTTTTCATTGTGGCAATTTACCTATACATACCCACAGCACATATTTAGAAACAAAGACTCCCGTGCTTTCCTACTTATTTTATAGATGAAAATATAATGGGCTTCTTGATTGTGTACTTTGGACATGCCATAGATGACTCTTCCCTCAGGGGTCTCCCCTGGCTTTTGTCTTATTGATTAGGCAGTATGATCCTCGGATCCAAATCTTCTGCCATGTGTATTCACACTATGTTTCTTACACTTGCTAACGTTCCTTAATTGAACACTGTCCATATGCCTCAGACATTTGAAGGATTTATCAAATTTTGCTTTTTATGTATTCAACAGCCAATAAAAAGTGCTATTATATGATTGTGATGTTACTAAGCTAAATGTAGAGATTGATAATGAAATGATTGTAAAACCAGGACTGTCCTATTAAACATTCATCCATTTGTTTATTGGGCACTCACTACTTCCCCTGGCACTAGGTTGTACAATTGTTTTTCTCAGTTGCTACTTCATTATCTTAGTTTTCTGTTCCTCAACATTCTCTTCTACACTACAGTTTTTTAAAAAATAAAAATTTAATGGCAGTGAAAACATTTCATATATGTAGTGTTATACGTTAATATAACGTGGCACAGTGTTTTAGCAGCCCCTGTGAATATGCTAGTCTTGATTGTATTTGAGGCTATTACTTGGGAAATAGCTCTTCTCTTCCTTTTTCTTTTCTTTTTTTTTAAACAACAGAGTTTTTTTTTCTCTGTGTAATAGCCCTGACTGTTCTGGAACTTACTTTGTAGACCAGGCTGGCCTCAGAGATCCACCTGCCTCTGCCTCTCAAGTGCTGGGAGTAAAGGTGTGCACCATCATCCTTGACCTGGCTCTTCTTTCATTTGTTAAAAGGGAATTATAGATCTAGAAGTATAATGTAGGACCCTAGGTAGGAAGTGAACTTGCAAAGTGACTGAGGACATGAAGGACCAGAGAACGACAGTGGGTCATGTATCAAGATGATTTACACCGGCTGGATTTTAACTTTAAATAGAACAGAATGTCCAGCTGCCTCAGCTGTCTGTTCCACAGTAAAGAGGAAGGGCCAACCATTAGGGAATCTGTTTCTGTTTTGTGATTGTTTTGCTCTTATTTTTATAAAGTCAAGAAGTACTGCTAAAAATAAGAGGTCAACAAAAAGAAAAAGGAAACATCCTTGAAATAATGAATTCAAAAAAACAGGTGCTGTTATTTTTGGGTTTGAAAAGGAACCTTGAAAATATACATACAAATAACATTATACATACTAAACAATTGTACTTATATCTTTAGGAATATACACATACATCTCCCCCCCCCCCCCGTGTGTGTGTAACAACAATTAATGAAAAAAAAGGCATGAACTTGATTGAAAGAGAGCAAGGAAGGGTATGTGGAAGTATTTGGAGGGAGGAGAGGGAAGAAGGGAGAAATGATAATTACATTACCCTTTCAAAAAACAAAAGAAATAATTAAAAGATTAGAAAGAGCAGGGACCTCAGAAAAGTAAGTGGTTGACCCAGGCATTATACTATGGTTATTATTATGATCATGGTAGAAAACAATACCTCCTATGCTTTTGAAAACTGGGGAAGGGTTGGAGATAAGGTTTAGTGTTAAGAGTGCAGATTGCTCTTCCAAAGGACCATAGTGATTTCCAGCACTATGTGGTGGGTCCCAACCAACTGTAACTCTATTCCCAGGAGACCTGGTGCCCTCTTCTGGTCTCCTTGGGCACCAAGCACACAGGAGGTGCACACACTTCTATGCTGGCATGTGGTCTGGTTTGGGCCTGCATGCTGCCATAACCACTGTGAGCTCCTGTGTGCAGCTGCCCTGCTCTGCCAACAAGATAATGTCTCCTTGTAGTCATTTCACCACCTCTGGCTTTCTACCCCCTTTCCATAATGATCCCTGGGCCTTGGAGTTTTGCAATCCATCTGTTCCCTTAGGCTAAGCAATCACTGCTGGCACTGCCATTGCTCGTGGTTATCCTCCAGACTCCACGCTAACACCTAGTACTGAAGACACCACACAACTGAATCCCAGAAAATGGCAGAATCAAGCTGGTACCGACCTGAACACTTCATCCCTTCCTATCCAGCTTTCATAGTGCTGGACAGTGCTATGCACACTATCGGAAGAAACGGGAATCATCAGTCTTAGCCACCATGCAACAGACTTCCCTACACTATCCTGCTGTGGGAACTCTGTTCCCAGACATCCCCACTGGTGCAATAGTGGCATGAACATCATGGGAGCAATCAACTACTTTTTTTGTTTCCTTTTTTTTTTTGGTTTGTTTGGAGACGGGGTTTCCCTTCATAGCCCTGGATGTTATGGATCTTGCTCTGTAGACCAGTCTGGCCGAGATAATCACTTTCTTTTTTTTCTTTTTTTCTCTTTCTTTTTTAAATTTTTTTTTAAATTTATAAAAGTTTATTAATTTATAAAAGTTTCCATTTCTGCCCCTCCTCCCAACACCCTCCCACTCCCCCCACTCCCTCTCCTCATCCCTCTCCATCCCTAAGAGCAGTCAGGGTTTCCTGCCCTGTGGGAAGTTCAAGTTCCTCCCCCCTCCCTCCAGGTCCAGGAAGGTGAGCATCCAAACAGACTGGATCCCAAAAATTCAGTATATACAGAGGAAACAAGTTCCAGTGTCATTGTCAATGGCTTTTCAGAGAGACCCCGTGCCAGCCACATTCAGAGAATCTGACCACATTCAGAGAATCTGGTTGGATCACATGCTCGTTCAGTCCCAATCCAACTGGCCTTGGTGAATTCTCATTAGATCAGTCCCCTTGTATCAGTGTGTGAACGCACTCCTCACAGTCCTGCCTTTCTTGTTCATGTTCTCCTTCCTTCTGCTCCTCATTTAGACCTTGGGGGCTCAGTCCAGTGCTCCAATGTGGGTCTCTGTCTCAATCTCCATCCATCAACGGGTGAAGGTTCCCTCTGGTCTTGCCTTCTTTGCTCACGTTTTCTTTCCTTCTGCTTCTCGTTTGGACCTAGGGAGTTAAGTCCAGTGTTCCAATGTGGGTTTGTCTCTGTCTCAATCTCCATCCATCGCCAGAGGAAGGTTCTATGGTGATATGCAAAATATTCATCAGTATGGTTATGGGCCAAGGTCGGTTCAGGCACCCTCTCCTCTGTCCAGAGAACAATCTGGAGATCTCTCCTTGGACCTGGGATCCCCTTTATAATCAAGTCTCTTGTAAACCCTAAAATGACTCCCTTAGTTGAGGTATATACTTCCCTGATCACATATCCATCCTTCCTCCCTCACCCCCATCCCAATCCCCCGAGCTTTCCCCATTCCTTCCCTACTCCCTTCTCTCTAACCCTCTCCAACAATCCCCCCCCCCCATGCACCCGAGGTTGCCTGGCATTCTTGTCTACTTCCAATCTCCAGGAGGATAACTACATGATTTTCTTCAGGTTCACCTTCTTATTTAGCTTCTCTAGGATCACAAATAATAGGTTCAAAAACCTTTAATTATGGATAGAATCCACTTATGAGTGAATACATACCATATTCCTATTTTTGGGTCTGGGTTACCTCACTCAGTAAAGCGTTTTCTATGTCCATCCATTTGCATACAAAATTCAAGATGTCATTGTTTTTTTACCGCTGAGTAAAACTCTAATGTGTATATGTTCCACACCTTTTTAAACCATTCTTCTATTGAGGGGCACCTAGGTTGTTTCCAGGTTCTGGCTATTACAAATAGTGCTGCTATGAACATAGTTGAACAAATGCTTTTGTGGTATGATAGGGCATCTCTTGGGTATATTCCCAAGAGTGGAATTGCTGGGTCCTGAGGGAGGTTGACTCCCAGTTTCCTGAGAAACCGCCACACTGATTTCCACAGTGGCTGCACAAGTTTGCATTTCCACCAACAACATTAATCTGACCACTTTGAACCAGATAGAAGAGAAAGTGGGAAGTAGTCTACAAGACATAGGCACAGGAGACCACTTCCTAGGTAGAACCCCAGTAGCACAGACAATAAGAGAATCAATGAATAAATGGAACCTCCTGAAACTGAGAAGCTTCTGTAAAGCAAAGGACACTGTGAGTAAGACAAAAAGGCTACCTTCGGACTGGGAGAAGATCTTCACAAACCCCTCATCAGACAAAGGTCTGATCTCCAAAATATACAAAGAACTCAAGAAACTAGATACTAAAACTCTAATTAACCCAATTAAAAAATGGGGTGCTGATCTGAACAGAGAATTCTCAACAGAAGAACTACGAATGGCCAAAAGACACTTGAGGTCATGCTCAACATCCTTAGCGATCAGGGAAATGGAAATCAAAACAACTATGAGATACCATTTTACACCGGTCAGATTAGCTAAAGTCAAAAACACCAATGATAGCCTATGCTGGAGAGGATGTGGAGACAGGGGAACTCTCATCCATTGTTGGTAGATAATTACTTTCTAATGGACTTTAAATCTCACACCACAGGATAAAACTCATACCTGGCACCATTATAAGGGCAAGCTATAGCCAGACACATCATAGGCACCTACTACTATTATGCTATTCCATGGGCACAGTGATTAATGACTCCTAATGACTCACCTTGATACTAATAGATAGATACTACCTCTCAGCCTCATCTGACAAGCTTCTATCTGCAGTAGATGTGGGTAACACAGAGACCCATAACTGACAAGGGGCAGAGAATAAGATATTCAGATGACAAGGAAATTTTTATTCAAGTAAGGAATCTATAGAATGGAAGAAAACATTAGCTAGTTAGATATCTAACAAAGAATTTAGATCTAAAATAAAGAACTCAGAACTTCAAGAAAAAAATCATATAACTCAGCTGGACCAAGAGGTACATGACTTTAATCCCAGAAGTCAGGAGGCAGAGGCAGGTAGATCTCTGTAAATTAGAACAAAATGAAATGAATGCACAGTTTACCGGAACCACTGGGGTGCTGCAAAGACAGCTCAAAGAGGCGAGGTACATCTGCAGGAAGCCCACAGACGAGCCATCCGTACCTACTAGGAAGAACAAGTTGACATTTTCCCGGTGGCTCTGGAGGGTATGGGAACTCAAAAAGCTGAGTGTGGTTCTATTTGCTTAAAGCTTCTTTGCAGGAGTAATGTTGGATGGGCTGAAGCCGCCCATAACTCTTTCATGAAGTATATATAGCACTGCCAGATTCAGAAATAAAAATGTAGGTCATTCGGTTAAAACTTGAATTTCAGCTGAACAACAAATGATTATTCTAGTATTGGCGGGACCCTTATAATATTTGATCTGTAGGTTTGCTGGCTCTGTGTCTCCAAGAAAGTTCTTCTTTTCTTTCCACACACACACTCCAAACACACACACACACACACACACACACACACACACACACACACACACCCCACACTGTTTGAGTGTTTTGTTCATGTAAGTATTGTAAGTATGTGTACCATATTTGTGACAGATGCCCATGGAGGTCAAAGGAGGACACCAGATTCCCTGGAACTGGAATTACAAACTGGTGAGCCACTGTGTTAGTGCTGAAAACCAAAACTGGCTCCTCCTCAAGACCAGTAAAGACTCGTAATCACTGAGCCGTCTTTCCAACCCCCCGGAGAATTATGCTATTTCTCAAAAATACTTTAAAATGTCTCACTTTTTATCTCAGGCTTACCTGAAACTCACCATGTGCCTCAGGATGGCCTTGAACTTGTGACAATCCTCCTGCCACAGTGTCCCAGGTACTGGGATTACTGTCACAAGCCATTAAGCACAGCAAACTTCTATTTTGTTACCATTGAAATGGGAGTGATATTAGTAATAGTAATATCTTCAAAGGGTCTTAGTAAGCACTAAGACTTGTAGGGCCTTTGATAATCCTAAGAAAGCAACAGTATTGCTGATTGAGTGGGAGGAACTTATTGCTTATATTTTGTATTTTTTTTTCAAGACAGGGTTTCTGTGTAGCTTTGGAACCTGTCCTGGAACTATCTCTTGTAGACCAGGCTGGTTTTGAACTCACAGAGATCCACCTGCCTCTCTGCTTCCCAAGTGCTGGGATCCTTATAGTAAAAATGAATTTTACTATTAACTCATTAATGTATACAAAGACGTCAACTATTATTGTGATAGGATTATATTAAATGTGTAGTAAGATCCATGTGGGAGGTAGATTACAGATAAAACAACTCTATTCACGCACATACACACAAAATCTAACAAAAGAAGCTCCTAGCTTGGTCTCTATTGCTGTCATAAACACCATGACCAAAAGGTTTACAAATGTTATATAATTTTTAAATTATAATACACTATTGTATTCTGAAACCTCGTTGTAATTATTTACTTGTTCAGAGCATCTTAAATTGGCTTCCTTAGGACTTGTGCACACAGCTCTATTGTGCAGATGAAGGAAGCTTTACTTCTTTCCTGATTAGATGCCTGCTCTGTCCTTTCCTTGTTGTCCACAGTAGCTGACTCACTTTCCTTATTGACTTTGGTTGGACTTTCTTGTGTCTTCATCTGTTGTGTGGCCCTGGACCATTCCCAGAGACTGTCAACAGTCGTCTTTAAAGTAACTTTGGCCCATCTGAATTGAAAGTAGATTTGCATAGTTTTATGGTTTCTGATGCTGGACATAAAACTCTGGGCACTGCATTTCAATAGATTCTAGACACAAAATATTAACTTAAGAGAACAAATTTACTTTTGACTTAACTGTATGGTCAATTTCTCCTTCATTTTATATCAGTAAGTACTTGGATTGTTTACATTTTTATTTTGAATAAAGCTGGATAGGCATTGAACAATGTATATGTTCATACTGTGGTGACATATATGTTCATATCACCATGCCTTCACCCATGAGGGTCTGAAACTCTGAAATATTGACCCAGTGTCAATCTTTCCTCTCTTAAGTGTGCTCGTAGTGATGCAAAAGCAACAGATATGTTAATGGCCCTTCAGATTTTATGCTTTGGGATGGTTGGCCAGTACGTTTAATTAGTTTTTATTTTCGCACAGCAAAGTTTTACAAATATTATATAATTTTTAAAAATTTATGTGTGTGTGTGTATGTGTGCATGCATGCTATGTGTGTGGGTGCATGCAGTGGCCAGAAGAAGGTGTTTAACCCCTTAAAGCTGGAGTTCCAGGCAGTGATGAGCTGCCAGATGTGGGTGCTGGGAATAGTACTCAGGGCCTCTAAGAGCAGCAAGTAATCTTTTTAGAAAATGTTTACTTTTTATCCTATATGAATGAGGATTTTTTTGCCTGTGTCTGTGTCTAGTGCCTGTGTCTAGTGCCCTTGGAGACCAGAAAAAGGCACTGGATTCCCTTGAAGCATAGTTAAGTGTGACTGTGGGTACCATATGGGTGCTGGGAACTGAATTACATTCTTTTGCAAGAGCAACCAGCCAGTGCTCTTAACAGATGTGCTATCTCAAGCCTCCTGGATATAATTTTTACTTAATGTGTTTCTAAAACCAATGAAATTTTCAGAGTAGTTACAGGTTCAGAGAAAAATTGAGCACAATGCCCATAAAGTTAGTGCAAAGTTCCTTAAACTCTCTAGCATTAACATCTTATATTAATACAGTATGTTTCCTACAATTGATAGTCCAACACTGGCGCATTATTAACAGGTTCATAGTTTACACTGGAGTTCACTGCGGTATGTATTCATTGGGCTTTGGTGAGGGTACGATGCTGTTTCCCAACGATAACAGTGTTATTCAGAACAACTCCACCTAGTCGTAGCCCTCCTTCCCAGCGTCTGAGGAACACTCTTCTTTTTGCAGTCCCCATACTTTTGCCTTTCTGTGAATGTTATTGGGCTCATACAGATTAGTTTTGTTGATTTGGCAATATGCATATAAGTTGGCAGTATGCATAGTTTTAATGCTTTGAAATCTCATTTTGAAATAATAATTGAATAATATTCCATTGTGTGGATTTGCCAGAGTTTATTTTCCATTTTTCTGTTGAAGGTCGTCTTTATTACCTCCAGGCTTTGGCAAGTAGAAATAAAGCCATTTCAAACATGTTCACGCAAGTTCTTGCACAATCATATTTTTCTCTTTGCTTGCGTAGATGCCAAGGAGTGCACCTGAACTGGATTTGTTTCCTTTTTCTGTATAAAAATGAATGACTCTTATCCCCTGTTTTCAAGGATGAGTTGTGTTTGCTGGAGAGTGACAACTCAAAGTGAACATTCTCTCCCTGGCTTACAGTGTGCCCTCAACCAACAAACCCTGAGGGGTTCCAAATGCTCCTTTTTAAGTGTCTAATAAGTTTTCCAAAGAGTAGATCACATTCATTTGCATTTCTGCATTTTACCCCAAAACCCTCCCAGCTCTTTTAAAATGTCATTCTCTCTCTTTTATTTTTTAAAAGTTTTTATTCTTTGAAAACTTCATAAAATGTACTTTGACCATATTATTCCTCCTCAGCTTCTCCCAAATGCCCCCACCTCTCAATTTACCCAAGCTCATGTTCCCTCTCTCTTAAAAAACCAAAACCAAAACCCCTCAGGTTCACTACTTCTGGCTATGAAGCCTGCCCGGGAATGGGGTTGGTATACCAGAAGGCACTCTATTGAAGAAAACTGACTTCCCCTCACACCAGCAAATGAATGCCAATAGGTCTGAGCTAGAAGCAGGACTTTGTTCTGATCTCTCTCTCTATGCTGGGGTTTCGTCTGGCTTGTGCAGGTCTTATGCATGTTATTACAGCCGTGTGTTCATATGTGCATCTGCGTGTTGTGTTGGAAAGCAGTTTCCTTAAAGTAATCCATCTCTTCCCGGCTTTCACAATTTTTCTGTCCCCTCTTCTGCATAGATCCTCATACCTTGAGGGGAGGAATGTGATGTAGACATCCCATAAGGCTGAGTGTTGTGATGTTTCTTCTTCTCTGCATGTTGACCAGTTGTGGGTCTCTGTATTAACTATTATCTATTGAAAGAAGAGGCTCCTCTGACAAGGGCTGCTCTGTAGGTACAGCATTAAGTCATTAGGCGTCATTTTACTGCTGTGTCCAAAAGCATCATTATCTTTTGAAAAGCTGAGAAGTCATGACTTCAGTTAAAAAAAAAGGAACTTAAAATTACAGTGTCTATTAATAAAACAGATTCAACACAGTATATTAAATCTAAGTTCCATTTTCATGAGACATAAGCAGGGAATAAAAAAATAAACCAGGAGCATATTCATTAAGAGGTGAGTTAATGTCCCTTATAAAGGAATAGTTGGAGAGCACAGGTTTTTTTCAGAACTGAAAAGTTTGAGCAGGATGTTTTTAGCTGAATGCCATCCTCATGACCCTCCAGAAAAGATGATATGGCCAAAAGTGTTTCAGAGAAATGGGAGTGAGTTGTTCCATGGTCATCCTGAGACCCACAGAACATGTTTTCCTTTTCTACACATCTCTCTCTACTCTCCAGTGTGCCAGGAAGCCATCTGGGAAGCCTTCAGGACGTTCTGGGATCGACTTCCTGGGCGTGAGGAATATCGTTACTGGATGGACTTGTGTGAGGATGGAACCACAAGTGTATTTGAAATGGGCACACAGTTTAGTCAGTCTATGGAACACAGAAGCTTAATCATGAAGGTAAGTGTCACAAGGAAGAAAGAAATTGTTAAATTGTTGTAGGCATCATTGTATACGGCTAAAGGAAGAGAAGATAACATGGTTTAAGGTTTCTGACTGAGCTGCCCTAGGCTAGCTTAGTCTTCTAGTCCTAGCTCTAGCCTTTCATAATGAACACTGTTAATCCAGAAACAGCAGCAGCCCTGTTTATAGATGTAAATGTATCAAAATAATATTATGCAAAAATTCAAATACAAGGATCTGTGTGGGTTAAACTTTATTGCCAAATTGCTTTATATGTTCATTCAGGATGGATCCTAGTCATTCTAAATAAGTTAGAGGATATAGTTCATTTAGCACAGGTAGTGAAGTATGAATTCGTTTTAGTTCAATTTGTTTTTATTTGTGTGTATGTATGTGGACGTGCATGCATGTATACACACATGTGCCGTGTCAGACATATGGAGAGCAGAGTTCAACTTCTTGGAAGTCAATTTTGTCCTTCCACATTGTTTTTTATGCAAGGTCTCTCTTTTAATTTTTGCTTCTGCACAAAATAAATGAACTTCCGACTAATTCTTCTGTTTCTCCCATCCTGCCTTAGGAATCTTGGAGTTACAGATGCAGACCACTGCATGTGGCTTTTAAAACATGAGTTCTGTATTAGTCAGGGTTCTCTAGAGGAGCAGATCTTCTAGAATGGATCTATATATTAAAAGAGGATTCCTAGAGTGACCTACAGCCTGTGGTCTGGCTAGTCCAACAATGGTTATCTGCCATCAGTAAGTTCAAAAATCCCATAATTGTTCAACATGAGGATGGATGTTGCAGCTGGTCTCTATGTTAGAATCTCAAAGAAAGAGTTTCTAAAACCAGTGAAAGAGTGGTTCAGCAGCAGGACAGATAGACTTGCCAGTAAGAGTGAGGGGAAACAGGCAAGAAACCAAGCACTTCCTTCTTCCATGTCCTCTTATGTGGGCTGTTACTAAAGGGTGTGGCCCAGAGTTAGGATGGATTTTCTGACCTCAAATGAGCTGTATTTAAGGATGGTCTTCCTAACTGAAGTTTTTCTAAACAGGAAAAATCCCTCACAGGTTTGTCCAGCTGTATGGGTTTTAATTAATTCTAGACATAACTAACTTGACAACTAAGATCAGCTATCATAGGCTCCAAGGATCCAAATCAGGTCATCAGGTTTGCAGGACACATGATTTTACCTGTTGAGCCATCTTGCCAGCCATGTTTGCTATGTCTTATTATCAGAAATTATAGAAATTATTTAATGGATATTTGTTGGAATAAAATTATAAAAGTAATAGCCACATGTATTTTTCTACTCCCTGCAATCTTTGAAGTTTAAGAATATCATTTTCAAGTACTGGCTGCAAGTATTACATACTGAAAATAATTGTTGGGTGAATAGCTAAAACCAGTTGTTTAAGTAGGTCTGAAAAATTATTATTAAATGAATAGCTCTGAGTTATTTTTGTTTGATTCTTATGAAATAAGAGTGTATCTAAAAGAAACAAGATGAATCATCACATTCTTTCATTTTTAAATTTTATTACTAGTAAAGAAGATGTACTATATTCTTTTAACATTTGGTTTTACAATAGTGATCTCATTAAGTGGGAGAAAGTTGGGTAGGCGGATAGTTTACTAAACATGGGTGGACCAAAGACAGATTTTATGGGTTATAAACATTTTGAAGACGTGCAAATTTTTTATGTGTTTAAAATGAACTCATCTATTTGCCATGGTGTGTCACAGTTCAAGTCAAGACACGGTGTCTGCCTTTTCTCTGCCATATTTATAACTACTTCATTTTACAAGTTATGAAAATAGATGCATCATCCATGCCTCCCATGTCTTAGAGCTAATAGACAGCAACCTTACAAGGTGTTCTTCATTTTGTAAAGGCAATAAATAAATTGCTTACCCTTTATTACAAAATCATTTGTAATCCAGAAACATTTTTTCCCCAAATTTATATTTTTGGATATGAATATTGTTCAGCAGCACAGAGCTTGGTATCATGTGCAAGGCCCTGTGTTTGATTAGCAGCCCTGCAAAAACAAAACAAAATTCTCAAAGCATGTTTTCCCCTGTGTTATGGAGCTCCCATTCCAGTTGTTATTGACTCAAAAGATTTCCACAAAGAAAAGAATCATGTATTCATATTTATATCATCCCTGTGTGATTCAAATTGTGTCCACAATACTGGGTCAGCAACTAAAGCAAGAAATATATACAAGGGGTTATTAACTTAATAACAGAGTTTTGTGATGTTAGACTAAAATGTGTTGCTTACAAATGGAACTTTAGTTTTAACTTGAAAGTCTAGGAAATACGCTTCAATGAATACTTACAGTTTGTAGATTAGACAGGCGATGCGCTGTCTGGCTTGAGTCTAAAGGGGTAAATGTGAGTTTGCAGAAAAGAAGAGGTTGGACAGGCCAGATGCAGGGAACAACACTACTGTGTTCATAGGGAATGGTTTGGGCCAGTGTAGTAGAGGTGATGTTAGAAATGACAGGTCAGACGGGAGAAGGGGAGAGCTTTAAGAGGCTTGGATTTGGCTCTGTGGGTGACGGGAAACTTCAGGGTTATAAGGGGATAAGACAATGGAGCTGGCTTAAAAGCTTAGACTTAAAAATCCACATTTATTTATCATTTATTTAATAAACTGTGAGAGTGAGAACAAGAGAGAGAAGAGAGGGGGAACTATGGCACTTCTGTACGAGTTGGTTCTTTTCTTCCACTCTGTGGGCTGTGGGAGGAAGGGCTTTCACCTGCTGAGTTCTCTGGCCCAATTTTGAACTCTTAAAGGCTGTTTGAAGGGCTACAGAGAGTCAGTTGACAGAGAGACCAGGTAGGAAGCCACTGAGGCTCTTAACCAGATCATGGGACAGAGAAAGAACATGATGGACAAAAGTAAAGAAGTAGGATTTGTGGGGTTCTTGTAGTTGTCATTTTCTTTGGGTCACCAATCAACTCCCAAATAAAGACACCGAGACTTATTATTAATTATGAATGCTTGGCCTTAGTTTACGCTTGTCTCACTAGCTCTTTTAGCTTAATTTAACCTGCTTTGCCTTGGGGATTTTTTACCTTTCTTCCATTCTGTATGTCTTACTTTCCTGATTCCTCCATGTCTGTCTGTCTGGTCCTAGTGTCTCCCTGGCATTTCTTTTTCTTTCCTATCCCCCTCTCCAGGCTAACTTCCTCTTCCCACTTGCTCTCCCTGCTCAGAAGTGCTGTCTATACCTCCTGCCTTGATATTGGCTGTTCAGATTTTTATTAGACTAATCTTAGGCAGGCAAGGTAAAAAAACAGCAACTCCTCTTTACATTATTAAACAAATACAATAAACACATCTTTACGCAGTTAAATATTCTACAACAGTCTGTGGCAGATTAGGTGGGAAAAGGATAGGATAATAGTGCTGGAAGCCTCCCAGTCCCTGATGGGGGTCAACAAGATCAGGGCTCAGGAAGGAAAGTCACTGTACTCCTTGCAGATGAGGCAAGGAGGGTGAAGTTACTTTGAAACGTTCATCTTCACTGCTCATGAGAAATGTGCATTGTTTGATGTTTTCGTATGAAGCAAAGGAGGTGGTCTGGGTTTTTAATTATAGAAATATTCACCAGCTTTGACGTGGTGACTGAATGCATGAAGGGGACAGATTATTTTGGGAGAGACCATAGAGGAAGAAAAGGAGCAAATTACTTAATGATATCTCAGAGTTATTTAGGTAATTTTTTCCCATTCAATAGATGAGAACACCGATCCTTTGAACCAGAAAGAACGTGGGGTTTGTGCTTATAATTGGGAGAAATGGGAACTTTAAACTAGACCTTCTGGATCCATCTTAATATTCTGTACACTCTTTCTTTTGGTAGTTTTTTTTTGAAGTAAAGAGTACACAGGAACATCAGGGCACATAAGCAGAGACAGAATGCTAGGATGCTTGCATGGTTATAGAAACAAACTTAACATCGTTAGTACCTGCTATTAGTATTCAGGCATCTGTGCTGGCCTGATCTTGGGGTGTACATCCTCAGCTGTAGCCACTAAGAGCATCTCCTATGCACATTGACTATACTCCCCTTTAAAAGGGCCCTGTCCACCTCCTATCTCTCCCTCTTTCTCTCTGTGTTTGTCTGTCTATCTCTCTCTCTCTCTCTTTCTCTCTCTCTCTCCCTCTCTCTTCTCTTCTGCCACTCCTGTCCCCAGAGGCCGGTCTCCCTTCTCCCCTTCCCCCTTTCCCATTCACTTTTCTCCCAATAAAAACCCTCTCCACTGAACTCTGTCTCATAGTGTCTTTCTCTCCTGTGCCACTTTTTACAAACCACAACACCTGCATTCATCATTTGCTTGTCCTTCGAGATTAGTGGCCTAGCTTTTGCCTCCTTAGGGCATTGGTGACCTCTGTGGAGTAGATCTTATTCACTGTGCAATCACTGCTATTAACTCAGCCATCGTGTCTTTGTTTTCCTCAGAAGCTGGCTTACACAAAGGAGGCTGCAAGCAGGTATGTCTTTCCTCCTAATCCGACACCTGGCAACATAGGTGTGCCGTATGAATGCCCACACTTACTGTGCTCTTCCTTTCCTTTGTCTTTTCAGCTCCTGCAAGGACCATGCCTGTGGGTAAGTCCCAAATGCTGTTCATCTGAGGCCATCTCCCTTCCCAGAGCATCACCATAGCCACCGGGCTCACTTACTGTCTGACCTTACCAGGAGCTGACTCGTTTCTTCCTGGATAATTCAATGGAAGTCTGCCTTCATGAGAATGACCTGCTGCTACTGAGCTTAAGGCTAACACCAACACTGAAAAGGTTTATCTTAGAGAGGGTTAAGTTGTTAAGTGCTAGGTAGTTGCTTGGATTATTTTATTGACTTTATGAGTATGGTCTTGAAAAGGAACAGCACACCGTAGATTAATCTGTTAGTGTGCTTCATGTCTGCCCATTAGGCACAAGCCAGGATGATTTCTGGCTTCTAAGCAGTAGTTATGTAAAGCGGATTTCAAAAGGTGAGGATAGTGACTGAAGTTTAAATTCCAGTCATCTTCAGAATATCAAGAGTATGTGGGAGACTATATAGTAAATCACCAGTAGATTAAAAAAATTAACTTAACATGCCAGGATCCAGACATCCAGCTTCTACAACAAAGTCAAGACATAGTTGGAATATACACATAGGAGTCTTTTAATAGAACACAGGCAGGCAGGAGGAGAGTGAACTTTGTGGTCTTGGTCATTCATCTGTCTCATGATGCCACAGTCTGTGTTAAGATTAGAGATTGGGCATTGTGGGGGTCCTCTTTTTCCTCTTGGCCTGTCGGCTATTAGTCTATTTGTGAAACTTCCATTTTAATGATAGAGCTGGAGAAACCATCTTCTTCACATCCACAATCTGCTGGACCTAAGGTGCCTTGCTTTGCTTCTCTTCTTCGTTCTATTGCCCAGTGCACACACACTCTCTCGCTCCCTCCTCCCTCTCTTTTATTTTTGATTTTTAAAATAATATGTCCTCTATTTTTAAAAACATTAAAACATTTATTCTTTGAGAATTTCATTGATGTGTCATGCATATAGCTTGATCACATCCTCTTCCCACTTCTGCCTCCAGCTCTCCCTGAATCCCGTCCAGCACACCCCTTGCCAGCTCTTGTTCAGTTCCTCCCCGCTGTCCGGTTAGTGCTGCCCATATGCACATGGGTGTGCGATCTTCTGCAGGAGCGTGGGCAGCTGCTGCTGGCCACACCCTCAAAGAAAAATGACTATCCCTCTCCCCACAGCCACCATCACTCTTGCTCTTTAGTTTCCTTCTCTTCTGTTTCCAATTATCTTTTCCTCTACCTGTTTTCTCATAGTTCCCCAATTCTTACAACCAACAAACACTTCTTTCAGTACAAAGTTTGCTGGTGGGTCTCTCTGCCTCTCACTGATTCCCTTGCTGTGCCCCGGCCAAATAGCTTTCAGAATAAAAAAGTTAGACCACATCCCTCTCCTCTGCCAGACAAGTGACTAGCTACTAGCTATTTCAAAGATCAAGATTAAGCTGCCTCACTTGAGTCTTCATAATCAACCTGTGCTTAGCCCTCCAGATCAGGCTGTATCTCCAAGTTATGGAGCATTTACTATATTTTTTTTAAAAAATATGCAACGAAACAGTTTAAATAACTTCAGACAATCCAGCTGAGCAAGGAGTGCATTTAGGATTTAAACCCACACCCATCTGAGTCTCAATATTCAAATTATAATCTCTGGTAAAATTACCTTTCACTCTGTAAAGTGTTTATTCTACCGTTTAATTGTCGCAGCAGCAACACAAACTAGGTTTGACAATAGTTCCCTCACATGAGCCTAAATATGAAGGAAGTAATTTTAGAAGACCCTTAAAGCCTGTCTCTACCTGTTTAACCCACCATGCAACCATCAGCAGCCTTCTGTGTTACCTCCTCATGCAAATAAGAAATGTGTGTGGCTCATTTCTACACTCCTCATGTACAATCCTCTGGAGGGGAGAGGCTTTGATCTACAAGTTCTCATAGACTCTCCAAGACCTAGCACCGAACATCCCAGCGTGCACATCATATATTAATTTTGTTGATTTTATTTAAGCAATCATACCAAAATCAATATGTTTGTGTTTCTCTCTCTGTCTCTCTCTCTCTGTCTCTCTGTCTCTGTCTCTGTCCCTCTCTCTCTCTCTCTCTCTGTGAATATACCCATACATGCACACAGAGAGAAGGAAGATGAATTAACTCACCAGGGTGACTTTCATTATATTTTATTAATTCTGCATTGTGATATGGTCAAGTTGCCCACACCATGCATTACACAAAGACCAGGGTTTCTTCATTAAATAACCATGGCTATCACAACATACATTTTATCTCAATTCGGTGTCACTATGCTCCAGAGGTGACATAGTATTCCCCCACCTACATTCAAAGAGGAAAAAAATGTAGATTTATTTTTGTTTATACTGGGAGGAGATTTTTTTAAAAAAATCACACACTAAGAAATCCCTGAAGATAGTGCCTTAAGAATGGACTAGACAAGCGGGAAATGAATTGTGAGCTGGCAGGAGTGGAATTGGTTTCATCTGGAGGTGGCCTGACTAGATCATCTCATTCTGTTGCTTCTATTCTCCTGAAACTGTCCCTTCCTGTTTGTGTAAGCTAAAAACAAATACCTTCATGCTCTCTTCACAGCCCCAAGTCTCAAGAAAAATTCTGAAAAGAAAGACAAAGCATGATTCAGTCAGTATGAAGAGAGATTCCATGTTATGAAACAACCTGTAATGCAGCCCATGAGAGGCCACACTGGCACTGCACATGCTCACTGCACACACATTGGTCTACACTGGCACCGCACATGTTCACTGCACACACATCTGTCTACACTGGCACTGCACATGTTCACTGCACACACATTGGTCTACACTGGCACTGCACACACATCGGTCTACACTGGTACTGCACACACATCGGTCTACACTGGCACTGCACATATTCACTGCACACACATCGGTCTACACTGGCACTTCACACACATCAATCTACACTGGTACTGCACACACATCGGTCTACACTGGCACTGCACACACATCGCTCTACACTGGCACTTCACACACATCAGTCTACACTGGTACTGCACATATATCAGTCTACACTGGCACTGCACATGTTAGCACACACATTGCTCCCCTGCATTGAGCAGTTTGGATTGACTCTGATGAATTTGTCTCCCAAATTATTACTATAGTAATAATTAATAATTACTAATCAATTATTATTTTTGTCTGTGCATGAAGGTATTGCCTGTGGGTAACTGTTCAGGTTCGATTATGCTAATATGTACTCTAAATGCCTCTGAACCTCATTTTATTTTCCCCTCACATCCTGTAACCCAAGATGCCTCTTGATGGTTTCTGTTACTGAGGCCTTCCTGTACTTATCTAAATCACTTGTCCAGATGGCATATGACTTTAAGTTCTTCTGGTGATTACTCATTTAGTAAGTGATGTCAGGTTGAAATGTTCTAACCAACCAATAAGGATAGGTTTTGTATAATGATTTTAATAAGTTACTCCTTCAGATGGTGTTTTTAAAACTAGAATAATCTTTCTGGTGAGATATTTTAAAAATCAGTTTCTCTGATTTTCTATGTGTGCCTGAGGGTGTGGAGAACATGTATCTGCTTTACCTTCAATCACAAATGTTTTACTTACCATGGTTTATACTAATGTTCCTTTAAATCTTACATTGAGTGTTATGGTTGCTGGCAAGAACTGCCATACCTAGTTAATGTGGTACTGGTGAGTGAGCCCAGGGCTTCATGTGTGCTAGGTAAGCACTCGGCCAATTGAACTACCCCCTTAGCTCTAGAAAAATATCTTTTTAAGGTTTTTAGACATTGGAAAATGAAAGGGACAAAAAAGAGACTAAGAGTCCTTAATTTCGTGAAGTTCTTCATTATTACCTCCCCACCCTTTTAATTGTAGAGATTAGAATCAAGGCTGGGGCCTTAAACACACTAGGCATATGCTCTTCCATTGAACTGTGTTCTGAGTCTGAAATTTAGATTCTTAATATGACTCTGCTGAGCAGACAGACCCTTCTGTGCTGCTGCAAATGTTCTTACTTGTTTTGTCTAGTGTGGCAGCCTTTAGTCATGTGTGAGCACTGAATACCTGGAGTGTGGCCAGTGGGAATAAGGAACTGAACTGGGTTTCTAGCTGTATAACAGCAATTAATCTAACTGCCAAATGAGTGCAAGACTTCTATACTGATGATACAGTCTAGAGGATTAAGCGGGTTGGGGACAAAGATAAAGTAGGCAATAAAATAGTTTCACATAATAATTTTACCTGGAGGGAAAAAATGAACAATGAGCTATAACTAGCAAGGTTCTTTATATAGGATGATTATGTTGATGAGGCATTAATAAATACAACATAAGTAAAATTTGAAGTTATAGCTTTTTTTTTTTGACTTTACAGCTTGGTATATTGGCTTGGGAACCCTTATTTGGTTCTAAAGAATTCCTTTGGATACCTGTCTTAGCTATGGTTTCTATTGCTGTGAAGAGACACCATGACCTGCACTTCTTATAAAAGAAAACGTTTAATTGGGGTAGCTCACAGTTTCAGCGGTTTAGTCCATCATCATTGTGGTGGAACATGGCAGCACACAGGCAGACATGGCACCACTGAAGGAGCCGAGAGTTCTACATCTTGATCCACAGGCAGCAGGAGGCAAACTGTCTGCCACACTGAGTCTAAAAGGAGACCTCAAAACCCACCCCCCACAGAGAAACACTTCCATGCCTACTCCAACAAAGCCACACCTCCTTATAGTGCCACTCTCTTTGGGGACCATTTTCTTTCAAACCACCACAGAACCCAAGTTCCAAATTTTTTCAATACTTTCCCAAGTTTCTGTAATTTTTAATACCTGCATTTCCCCCTCCTAGGCCTGAGTTGTCATCCCCAGTTCCTGTTGGTGATGCATCAACATTTACAGGTATGCTTTTTTTTCCTTTATTCACTTTTATTTCCTAGCTATTAAAGATTTAAGACAGTTTTTCAAGCAAGTATAGGTTTTTGGCTTACATTTTAAAAATATAAGTTCCCCCATTTTTGTATTGCTCAAGAAAAACAATTATTTTTTTACTTGGTTCGTGATAGTATACTGTGTGTACTTTAAGAATCAGAATAGGGGCTGGAGAGATGGCTCAGTGATCGGGAGCATTGCCTGCTCTTCCGGAGGTCCTGAGTTCGGTTCCCGGCAACCACATGGTGGCTCACAACCATCTGTAGTGAGGTCTGGTGCCCTCTTCTGGCCTGCAGGCATACACACAGACAGAATATTGTATACATAATAAATAAATATATTTAAAAAAAAGAATCAGAATATACCTTAAAGCATGAGTGTGGTGTATGAATTATTTTCAGACAGACACTTAAGTTGAGGGTAGAACCTTCGTGCTGTCACTTTGTGTCACTTTCCCAGTACAAGGGTTTTCTGACACATCCTGTAGAATATCCTTTAAGCACTGTATTCTTTTTAAAGTTTAAAAGATTTTCAATATTTTTTAATTTAGATTTTTAAAATTTAATTTTGTTGCTTGTGTATCTCACTCTCTGCGTCTCTCTGTCTCTCTGTCTCTGTCTCTGTCTCTGTCTCTCTCTCTGTGTGTCTGTATGCAAAGTGTATGTATTGCCTGGGGAGATCAGAAGAGGGCATCGGACCAAGGGTAGTGTCAGATCCTCTGGAACTGGAGTTATAGACTGATGTGGTGTTAGGAACCAAATTTCCTGGAAGAGCAGGAAGTACTCTAACTGTTGATCCATCTCTCCAGTCCCAAATTCTGTATTTTATGTAAATTAGTCAGTCTCTTTCTCTTCCTGTTTCTTCCTGCCTCCTCTCTCAGCACTCCTTCCCCATTCCTTTCTTCTTGCCCTCTCTTTCCCTCTTCTTTCTTTTTGCTAGGGATTGAACCCAAAGGCATCTTTCATACTAGGGAGGTGCTCTACCGAGGGATACAGCCAAGACCTTATTATTTTTAATAAAAAGTATAAACTTCTTTTTGTTAGAAATTTTGAGCATATACAAAAATAGAATAGCATGATATGGCTCTGTTTTGATAGTTGTTAAATAATGGCCAAGCTACAGTTCCATAAATCAAGCATATTTATGCATTTTAGTGTCTGTTCCCTTTGCTAACTAGATATCCCTAGAAATGGAGACTTTCTTTTTGTAGTTTAGTATCTATATTCGAGCCTGACACACTAAACAAACAAACAAACAACCCCACTCGTTTAGTGAATCATAATTGTTACGATGCTAGGAAGCCTCTACAAATGCCTCTTGAGTTTATGACTAAAAAACCCTTCAGTATAAGAAAGCAAAGAACTTGTAAGAATGACTTTTGAAGTAAGTCTTTAATTCCTGATGTGAATTCTGGCTTATGCAAGGACTAATGCCTTGCGCGTTCCGTCTTCTGCTTAGGTGCCGTTCCCAGTGCTTCCTATCCAGGGGTGGCCTCAGAGAGTAGTGTGGTGTCGCCAGAGGAGAGCGTAAGTCCAGCTCTGTTTTGTTGCTTTCTAACATGGAGGATGTGGGTTAACAGGATTTATTCCATTTCTAGACTGCACAGGACTTCACACAGTGCATGACTCTGAAAAATATTATGAATTCTAAATCCAGCACATTCAGATGTCTGATGTCCCTTGGAAGAGCTGAATAAGTCTGCCTAACTGATAAATTTTTGACAGAAGATTTCTGGGAAACTCTCAGGCTGATAAATAAATACCCTTCTAGCCCTTAGTAGATTGGGCCTTAACATCCTTTGAGAGAAAGGAAATGGATTTTATTCGGATAAAATTCTGAAAGTGATCACACCTTCTAAATACACTCCCATCAACAGGAGCCTGTCTACTAAAAGGCAGAGACGAGGGTCCACTACCAAAGAGCACAGGGTGAGAAAAGGAGTACCCTGCCCAGGCAGATGGAAGCATCTTATTGAAAGGTGTGTTCAGTTCTGTGTTGGGAGATGTCTCAGTAGAGGGAACACTAGAGGTGCAGAGGTAAGAAACGGAATTCAAATCCCCAGTGCCCACTTAGGAAGCCAGGCAGCCATCACGGTCCGTCTGTATCACTCTCATCTATAGCCAGGTAAGCAAGCATGGTGGCCCACCTCCATCACCCACAGAGAAAGCCAGGCAAGCATGGCAGCCTGCTGTATCACCCTCACAGAAAGCTAGGCAGGCTCAGAAGTCCTCCTGTATCATCATAGAAAGGCAAGCTGTCAGGAAATCTGCCTGTATCACCCCAATAGAAAGCCCGACAGTCACACAGCCCGCCTGTATCGCCCCCACAGAGAGCTAGGCAGCCTTGCAACCTGCTTGTCTATTCTACATAGAAAATCAGGCAGCCTGACTGTACCACCCTCACAGAAAGGCAGGCAGCCACTGCAGCCCCGCTGTAACCCAGAACTGGCTCTTTAGCCAAAGCTGGCTGGCTAGAGTAACTGAATCCACGAATCCTGGGTTTTGTGAAACACTCTCCCTCAGTGAGAGAAACGAAGAGCTGTTGAGGAGGGTACCTGCTTCCCTGTACATGCATGTGCAGACCTGTGTACACAGAGGCACATATCCCACACATGTCAGCCCACACACACGCACACACATACCACTGCAAACACAACTTTTCCCCCCTTAAATTCTGAATTTTAAAAAAATTTAAGGGCTCATTGTATCGTGACTTATTTATTAAGGAGCAAATGATGAAGACATTCTTCAGAAAGTTGAGGTTTGGTTACCTTACATCCTCCCTTCTTAGTGTGGACATTATAACCGATGTGAAGTCGGGGGGAGGAGTTCCATTTGCCTCCATCCCTTCCTTGGTCAGTATTTATGTATTTTCCCTGAAGAAACATCTGTTCAGTTGCTCAGCTTGTTTAAAGTCAGATTATTTCATCTTGTTGCTGTTGAGTTGCTTGAGCTCTTTATAAACTTTAAATATTGATCCATAATCAAATGGATAGAGTGCCGGATATTTTCTCCTATTCTGCAGTTTCGTTCTTTCTTTTTTTCTGCTTAATTTACTTTTATTTAATTTTTTTTGATTTTACATACTAGCCCCAGTTCCCCCTCCCTCCCATTCTCCCGACCCCCTCCACTCCTCAGAGGAGGTACAGCCTCCCTTGGGGAGTCAACAAAGTCTAGTATTCATATTGAGGCAGGACCCAACCCTTCCTCCCTGTATGAAGGCTGAGCAAGGAATCCCACCATAGTGAATGTGCTCCCACAAGTCAGTTCATACACCCAGGATAAGTCCTGACCCCACTTCCAGGGGCCCTACAACAGATCAAGCCATGTAACTGTCACCCACATTCAGAGAGTTTAGTTGGGCCCCATGCAAGAACCCCAGCTACCAGTCTGGACTCCATGAGCTCCCACTAGCTTGGGTCAGCTATCTCTGTGGCTTTCCCAATCATGATCTTGACACCCCTTGCTCTTACAGTCTCTCTTCCCTCTCTTCAGCTAAGCGCCAGGAGCTCAGCCCAGTGCTTGGCGGTAGTGACTGCATCCTGCAGGTTGTTTCTTCATTCTCATCATTGCTTACTTTGGTGTGCAGCAGCTCCTTTATTGGATTTACGGCTATTAGTCTGCATCTGTAGCCTGTGCTTCAGATCGCATAAAAAACACTGGTCTATACAGATGTCTCCAATGGTTTTCTCTGAGTTTCTCCTAGGAGTTTCTTAGTCTGGGCTATTTACATTAGGCCTTTGACCAATGTTGACTTTATGCATGATGGAGTTTTGTTCTTTGGCATATTGATATGCAGTTTCCCCAAAACAGTTTATTGATGCAGTTTTTTTTCTTGTATATTTTTGGGACTTGCCAAAATTCAAGTGATCATAAAGGAATGGACTAATTTGTCTTTGTTCCATGGGTTTATATGTTGGTTTTTGTGTTTGGTCCATGCTTTCTGATTATTGCAACTTTGTAGTTTGTTTCAAAGTTGGTCCTGTGATACAGTTTTTATCTTTTTATTCCAGACTGCTGTGACTACTTAGGGTATTTTTTGATTCTGAAAATTTTTTATGGTTTTATGAAAAATCACCAGTATTTTGATGGAGATTATATTAAACCTGAAATTTCTTGGGGAGTACAGAATTTTTAGCAATATTAATTCTCATAGTCCATAAGCATTGGATATTTTTCCTCGTTGTGTGTGCATCATTGTCTTTGGTGTTTTATAATTTCATTGTAGAACTCCTTCACTTCCTTGAGTAAATTTATTCCTAGGAATTTGACTCTTTGGTAACTGTTAAGAATGTGGCTGCCTTCTGCAACAAAGTTATTATTAGTTTTAAAGTATTGCTGGCTTTTGTTTGTTAATTTTGTAGACTACAACATTGCTGAATTTACTTGTGAGCTCTAGCAATTATTTTGTAGGTGTCTTTGGTGTTTGTGCACACGTATATAGCCACATCATTTGTAAACGCACACTGTGTTTTAACGTCCCCCTCCTCCAGCTTGGATTCCTTTTCTTTCCTTCTCTTGCCTCATTTCAGTGACTGAGACTTTCTGTACTGTGTTCAATACGTCTACAGCCTGCCCTTCTGTATTGTAGGTGTAACTTTTCGCCTTAAAACTCGCGAATCAACCTCGGTTAGCTTCAAACTTCTTGCACTGCTTCCTTACGCCTCTCAGCTTTCATAGACTTGAAGAAATTTCAGGCCTTCTTCTGGATTAGACTGGAGAGAGGACGAGCAAGCTAGTGGCGGGGCAGTCAGAACACACGTACTTAGTAAGTCTACAGGCTAAAGTCTGTTTATGTGGGTGTCACTCATGGTGCGGCAGAACTGCTGTAGTAACAACACCAGTGACCTCAGGCTGTCACCGGATCAGACACAATGATGATAAAACATCTAAAGTAATTTTAGATTCCCACAATATAACCTTGACCCCTAATGTGAGCACACATGGTTAGAACAATGCTCCCTGTGAACTCACTTCACTGCCTTCCATCTGTACAGATCCTGAGCCTGCAGAGTTCCAGAAAGCAGAGGACAAAAAAGACAAATTAGTTACTGAGTTTTGTGTTTGTTATATCTACATAGTGTGAAGCATTGTGTTTGATATCAATTCTGAGACTGTCTTAGCTGTTACCTCTCATGAGCAGTTGTGAGCCTGACTGCCTCATTTCCCTGTCATGGCTCTTCATTATTTCAGGAACTTTTATTTCTCTGTTGGAACTCAGTGTTGTGTTCATCCAGTTCTTCCTCTTCTTCAGTTCTTCCTTCAGTCTTGCCTATGTTTTGTCAAATGTCCCCAGAGATTTAAGAACCCCTGTTTTATGGATTTCACCTTCAACTAGGACAGGGCTTCTAGTTGGTACTTTAACCTTTTGTGGTCTTTAAAATTACAGCTTATGCCATGAAGGAATAGTATCTGCTTCATGGAAACTGACACCATCTATGTGAAATTGTCTTTCTGGGGTCTTGTAATTTCTGTATGAACATCTTGACATCTTGGTATTTTTCTTTCTGTTTCTTACTGTCTTAAATACCACCTAGGTTTTTAAAACATTAAAGCAAACACGTATTTTAGGTGTTCTTCAGAGTTAAGGGTACTAAGTATATTTTTAATAAAAATATTAGAAGTAGAAGTCTCTGTTCAGTTTACTCTGATGAAATTTAAAGATAAATTTATTTATAAAAGACTTAATAATTATGGACATACAGTATTCTGTCTGCATATATGCCTGCACACCAGAAGAGGGCACCAGATCTCATTACAGATGGTGTGAGCCACTACGTGGTTGCTGGGAATTGAACTCAGGACCTCTGGAAGAGCAGGCATAACTGCTCCTAACTGCTGAGCCATCTCTCTAGCCTGATATATTTATTTTAAAAATTGTGTGTGTATGTGTGTATTTGTATGTGTGTATTTACATTCATGTGTGTGAAGGTGCCTGTGGAGCAGAACAATGCACCAGGTCCCCTGGGACTGGATTTACAAGTGGTTGTGAGTTGCTTCACATGGGTGCCTGGAACTAAACCCAGCCCTCTATAAGGTAGCAAATGCCCTTAGCTGCTGATCCATCTCTCCAACCCCAAGATGAAATTTAATAAACAAAAAAAGGCAGTCTGTATAAAATCCCACATACCTAACAAGTTTTGTCATTAGTAGTCTTAGCATTACTGAGCAGTAAATAGAATGTACTTTCCTGGAAAAATACCCAAATGTAGTAAATGGTCATGTAATATTAGATTGCATTAATGAAAATATAAACTCTCCGTTAAGTAGGTGATTGTGCCACCATATTTTAATTAGAACTCATGAATGGGTGCCACACTCTGAGGTAAATTTAAGGTCATTGGAAATGTCAGGAGGAGAGCAGCCAGTGGCGAGTCAGAGGAAGTTTGATAGCTTCCTGGCAACCGTGAAAGGCCCTCTGTTATTGTAGTTTACTTGTGAGCCAGGGCAGACAACTTTTTATCAATAATGGAACTTATAGGGAGTCAGTTTGGGTTTAATCATAAGACTTTCCCAACTCTGGCAGCGTTTTGAAAGCGTGCGAGCCTGCTCTGAAAAGCATGTCTGTTTCTAATGGCAGCTCTTTTAGTAGAGATGGGAAGCCTTTGTTCAGGGATGTCGTGGAGAGAATGCAGTCACCAGAGGGAATGGGGGTGATCTTCAAGGTTCTTTCCTGTTCTGAAACTTGATAGGCTTCTGATAGCCATCAGATGAAAAGTGTACAGTGCAAAGGGAAGACCCCAATGAGTCTAGTCTCAGCCAAGCCATTGGCTTGCTCAGCATCTTCAGGCTGCTTGTGCACCCTTCCCATGTTTCTATATGTACAGCGGAGACACTTGGCTTGAATGTGCTCATTTAAATGTGCTGCATACAGCAACTATTACTGTAGTGTTCTAGTAGTAATGCTAAAATTCCCTCATTCCTTCTAGATTTATTAAGTAAACTTGTGAAAGAAACTATTGATACCTTCATTTATTCAGTCCTTTATTCATATGAGTAGACTTATAGATAGTTTGTTATTTGTGTTATAATTCAATATTAATTTTTTTGCCCATGTTATATCAGCTTTGACCACTGGAAGACCTGGAATTATTTTATTTTCTTCTTTTCTTTTTGAGATGGCATCTTGGGTCTTCACTCTGTAGCTCTTGTAACTCACTATGAGGCCCAGGCTGACCTTGAACTCTTGGTCTTTACCCAGCCTCACTCAGCCTTCTGACTGTGGGGATATAGACACACACTACCACACCAGCTTCTGATTATTCTGTGTATGTGTGTGTGTGTGTGTGTGTGTAATTTCTGTATATATTCTCTCTCTCTCTCTCTCTCTCTCTCTCTCTCTCTCTCTCTGTGTGTGTGTGTGTGTAATTTCTGTGATTGAACCCAGGGTCTTGAACATGCTAGTCAAATGCTGGACTTAGGTTTTAATGTCACTGAGTGGAGCACAAAATTTGTCGTGGTTTTGACCAAAGGCAATTATTGTTTAAGGAATGACCTGTTTTTAAGCTGGTGTAGTGTCATTACAGAATATTCCAAGTTATCTGAAAAGATTATTGCTCTGTTTCCTTTCCACTAATACATATTTATATGCCCAGATTTTCTTCATGTTGCTTCTGTTAGAATAGTACATTGTGATTAATTTAATACAGAAATAAACATGAGAATTCAGCCATATTGTATTAAGCCAGACATTCAGGAATTTGCAAAAGTATAAACAATGTCACTTTCCCACTATTTTCAGCTTCATAGCATGTGTTGTTGACTTTTGCATGAAATTTGCTTACTCTGTTATTATATTTGAGACAGGGTGTTCCTATGCAGCCTTGGCTGGCTTGGAACTTACCACGTAGACCAGGCTGTTCTTGAACTCATAGAGATCTACCTGCCTCTGCCTCCCAGTGTTGGAGCTAAAAGCATGTACCACTATACCCAACTACTCTGCTGTTTTAAAATGAACTAATATATGTTTTTCAAATTTATCTTTTGAAAAGTTTGTTGGTAAATATTTAGAGTTGTAATACTTATCAATAAAACTTTTCTGAGTTGCTGAGTTATTTTCAAGAGTCTAAATGGATTTTTGAATCAAAATGTTTGAGAACCATTTCTGTAAGCCATGTTTTGATGAAATTATAGAATGTTCAACTATTTTCTTACTCATCTTGATAGTTTCCTATGGAAATATTCTTGCTCTTCCTCATCAATGTGTGCTGGAACACTATACAATTGTATAGTGATTATAACATTCACGTATATCCTCAAAGTTATTCATTTTATTGTAAAATTAAATTCTACATAAAAAGTTATCATTAAATGTAGTATCTGGAACATTGAGGGTAATCAGTAAATATTTATTGACTGAATAAATAAATACTGATATTTATTATTCTTTCTAACTCCAGATCAGCAATGAAATTGAGAAGGTGACAGAGGGGCCCACACAGCCTGCTGTGGAACAGATAGCTGAATTCAGCATCCACCTTCTGGGGAAGCAATACAGCGAAGAGCTGCGGGACCCCTCCAGCGCCCTCTACCGGCTCCTCGTTGAAGAGTTTATTTCAGAGGTGGGTGATTTTTCTTTTTAAAGTTTTTTTTGTTTGTTTGTTTTTTTCAAAGTTTATTAAATTATGAAAGTTTCCATTTCCGCCCCTCCTCCCAACACCCTCCCACTCCTCCCCCTTCCCCTCCTCCTCCCTCTCCATCCCTAAGAGCAGTCAGGGCTTCCAGCCCTGTGGGAAGTTCAAGTTCCTCCCCCCTCCCTCCAGGTCCAGGAAGGTGAGTATCCAAACAGACTGGATCCCAAAAATCCATTATATGCAGAGGAAACAAGTCCCAGTGTCATTGTCAATGGCTTTTCAGAAAGGCTCCGGGCCAGCCACATTCAGAGAATCCGGCCACATTCAGAAAATCTGGTTGGATCACATGCTCGTTCAGTCCCAGTCCAACTGGCCTTGGTGAACTCTCATTAGATCAGTCCCCTTGTATCAGTGGGTGATCGCACCCCTCGCGGTCCTGAGTTTTTTTTTTCATGTTCTTCCTCCTTCTGCTACTCATTTGGACCATGGGGGGCTCAGTCGGTGCTCCAATGTGGGTCTTCGTCTGTATCGCCATCCATCGTCGGATGAAGGATCTATGGTGATAAGCAAAATCTTCATCAGTATGGTTATAGGCCAAGGCCGGTTCAGACACCCTCTCCTCTGTCCAGAGAACAATCTGGGGATCTCTCCTTGGACCTGGGATCCCATTTATAATCAAGTCTCTTGTAAACCCTAAAATGACTCCCTTAGTTGAGATATATTCTTCCCTGATCCCATATCCATCCTTCCCCTTTTCCCCCATCTCAGTCCCCCGAGTTTTCCCCATTCCTCCCCTACTCCCTTCTCTCTAACCCTCTCCCCTTCCAACAACCCTCCCACCCACCCACCCCCATGCACCCGAGGTTACCTGGGACTCTTGTCTATTTCCAATCTCCAGGAGGATAAGTACATGATTTTCTTCAGGTTCACCTTCTTATTTAGCTTCTCTAGGATCTCGAATAATAGGCTCAAAGACCTTTAATTATGGCTAGAATCCACTTATGAGTGAATACATACCATATTCCTCTTTTTGGGTCTGGCTTACCTCACTCAGTAAAGCGTTTTCTATGTCCATCCATTTGCATGCAAAATTCAGTAATAACCGGAATGAACAACCACTGGTCATTAATATCACTTAATATTAATGGACTCAACTCACCTATAAAAAGGCAAAGACTAAGAGATTGGATACGAAAACAGGATCCAACATTCTGCTGTTACAAGAAACACACCTCAAACACAAAGATAGACATCTACTCAGAGTAAAGGGTTGGGAAAAGGTTTTCCAAGCAAATGGACCTAAGAAACAAGCTGGTGTGGCCATTCTAATTTCTAACAAAATTGACTTCAAACTAAAATCAATCAGAAGAGATGGAGATGGACATTTCATACTCATAACAGGAACAATTCATCAGGAGGAAGTCTCAATCCTGAATATCTATGCCCCTAATATAAAAGCACCCACCTATGTAAAAGAAAAACTTTTAGAACTCAAGGCAGTCATCAAACCTCACACACTAATAGTAGGAGACTTCAACACACCTCTCTCACCAAAGGACAGGTCAATCAAACAGAAACTCAACAGAGAAATAAGAGAATTACTAGAGGTAATGAATCAAATGGACTTAACAGATATCTATAGAACATTCCACCCAAATAGGAAAGAATATACCTTCTTCTCTGCAGCTCATGGAACCTTCTCGAAAATTGACCACATACTCGGTAACAAAGCAAACTTCCAGAGATATAAAAAAATTTTAGTAACCACCTGTGTCTTGTTGGATCACCACGGTATAAAGTTAGAATTCAATAACAATTCGAACACCAGAAAGCCTACAAACGCGTGGAAGTTGAACAGTCAACTACTGAATCATCCCTGGGTCAAGGAAGAAATAAAGAAAGAAATTAAAGTCTTCCTTGAATTTAATGAAAATAAAGACACAACATACTCAAACCTATGGGACACAATGAAAGCAGTGCTAAGAGGAAAGTTCATAGCACTAAGTGCCCATTTAAAGAAAACGGAGAAAGCACATATTGGAGTCTTAACAGCACACCTGAAAACTCTGGAAAAAAGAGAAGCAGACTCTCCCAGGAGGAGTAGAAGACTGGAAATAATCAAACTGAGGGCTGAAATCAACAAAATAGAAACACAGAAAACAATCCAAAAAATCAACGAAACAAAAAGTTGGTTCTTTTTAAAGTTTTTAAAGAAACTTTTACTTAATTATTTTAAACATGTGCATTATGGGAAGCAAACATCACCATGCGGGTGGTTCATTTGACTGGCTAACATGATTGTTGGGGATTAAGTTTTTCATAACCACAACACAAAGGTAAGTTGAGAACTCAAACTGAGCATCTGCTGGGTTCCTAGGGTTCAGAAAACATTGGGAAACGTTCAGAAAGGTCAGCTCTGTCACAGAAACCTCTTTCTGCCCATTAACAAGCAAATGCTTTTTGCAGCTCAGCACAGCGGAGGACGCGCGGGCTCTGTGCTTTAATTTCGGCTCGTCAATGTCTGGAGGAACGGATGTCTCTGAATGGCTATGTGTTGCTTATCTTTTTTTTTTTTTCCTGGAGCGAACATTAGCTTTAATTTCTTTAAATTTCATCTTTATTCTTTTTTCTTTGTTTGGACACTTTTAAGTAGTTAACTCATAGGTACAAGTGTGCAAAGTTGAGAAGCACCAGAAGGGATGTGGGAAATAAATAATCCCCTTTGCCTCTGTCCTCTGGCTCTGGTGAGAGGTTTTTTTTTGGGGGGGGAATTTTCTAAATAACCATGTGCTAAACCATGCTGTTACTTACCTTATGAAAGAATTCTGGATAGAGTTTGAACTCAGAATTCTTCCATTAAACATCAGCCATACCTGGTGCCCTTCTGGTATGTCTTTGTTCTTATGTAGCATCGCCTTGGGTGCCATCCGCTCGTCTATGTGATGACAGGGCACTGCATTTCTTCCTGTTTGCTTCTTTTCCATTCCTACTTGATTGACTTCTCCTTGACCAAGTTTGTTAATTCCATTACCTTGGCTTAATTTCCTTCCCCAGTCATTGTGTCCAGATGGGAAACAAAAATATGCATCTGTCAGCCAAATAGCATCATTGCAGCCTTCAGACATGGGGAGGAAGGTAGGCCAGACGATTCTTTTCCTAAGTGTGCGGCCAAGTTGCAAGGCTGTATGGTATGCGGGAGAAATGTCAGCCAGGCCAGTGGCCACCTGGCATCAGATCTGTTTTTAGTTGGCTGTCTGGTCTTCCTGCCTGGATTAAGGAGCCTTTAACAAGCTTTAGTGTTTCAGTAAACAACTGCAGGAATGACTGGAGATTTAGAGAAAAATTTAATAAACACTCGGAAAGGTGTCCCCTCAGTAATGACTTTATGAAATATGTGGTCACTGAGCTGAGGTAGTTTGAGGGTGATGAATGGTCTGGGCCAACCATGAGCCACCCCTTCTCCTTCTAACTAGCCTCTGTACCACCTTCACCTTCTGACCTCGAGTGACATGTGCTCTGATAACTATTTCTTTGTGTGAAAGGTTGTGTGCATGTGTGTGTGTGCTTGAACATGTGTGTGATACAACCTGCATGTGGAGGTCAGAGGGTAGCCTCAGTTTTTGGTTCTTGCTTTATGCCTTGTTTAGACAGGGTCCCGGTTGTTTACTGATGTGTGTATCAGGTTGTCTGGCATGCTAGCTCCTAGGCATCCTCCTGTCTCTACCTCCTGTATGAAACACTGGGTTCACAGATGCTCTTCATGACATCTGGCCTTACATCAGTTTCTAGGAATTTGAATCCAGAAATTGCATGACAAACCCTTCACCCATTCAGCCATCCTCCCAGCCTCTATTTGCCTTTCAAAGTGGTCCTTCCTCGTTTCCTGTACAGAGGCTCCTTCAGAAACTATAATGAGTTTCTCCATTTCAAATGTATCATGAAGCAGGAGAAAAAGGAAAGGGCAGTGTAGTTCAATGGGTAAATATGAATGGCAGCATTAGAGAAAGCTGACTGGCAAGTAACTTCTGAGCCAGCCATCCTTAAATTCTTCATTCTTAAAACAAGATCTTCAGTAAACCAAGATTAAAAAAAAATCCACAGCCTGACAGTATGAGGGACTGGTTGAAAGCTTTTCTGTGATCCTGGCCAAGTGAGTGCCATCTTAGTGTCTCAGTTCTGTCATTTATAAAATCAGGGTAGTATGTATGTTTTGGTGATTCTTCAAAGATTAGAAGTAGAGCTTCCTAGCCCCAGATAGAGTGGTTGCTCAGTAAATTGTACCTGTTCCCAATATGGGTGCTGACAAAATTAAATGATTTCTTGCACTGAATCTCTGTGCAGTAGCTAACTGCATGCAGTGACTTATAACACCTGTATGTGTTTGGACCCAATCCCAGGCCTTGGCCCCCTTAGTAATCATGGAATTGTGTGGTTGATGGGATGCTTTCAGCTCCATTCAATTTAATGTTCAAAGGCGGATGTGGTGGAAGGCAGGGCAGTCTTAGTTCCAAGAGGAAAGCTGATGCTCATTCAGTTGACCAGCAAATGCACGACCTTAGACTTCTGATTCTTGTTGTTGTTTTTCTCCCAGATCTTCTACTTATTTGTTCTTTGCTGTTTGACTCTTTTGGGGGCCCACCATCCAGCTCCCAAATAAATCACAGAGAGGCGTATTACTTTCTTATGGATGCCGAGCTTTAGCTTGCGTTTGTTTTTAGGCAGCTTTTCTAGCTTAAATTGTCCCATCTACCTTTTGCCTCTGGGCCTTTTCCTTTTCTTACTTCTCTATGTCTTACTTTCACTCTTCCTCTGTGGCTGGCCCTCGTGTCCTCCTCTCCTTGTTTTCTTGTTCCTCCTTTTCCTGCTGCTTGATCTCTCTTCTCTCTTTTTTGCCTATTTATTCACCCTGCCTGCCAGTCTGCCTATTCTTTCTCCTGCCTTGCTATTGACTGTTCAGCTCTTTATTAGACCACTAGGTGTTTTAGATGAGGCAAAGTAAGGCAGTTTCACAGAGTTAAACAAATGCAACATAAAAGAATGTAACACATCTTTGCATCATTAAAACAAATGTTCCACAGCATAAACGAATGTAACACATCTTAAAATAATATTCCACAACAGATTCTTACTTCTACGACGTCCCTCCTCCCTTATCCTGCAGGTATTTACTCTTCCTTCTCAAACAGCAAAACACAAGCTACACAGGCAAATGCTTTATGGATGGGAATCCTTTATTTGTGTGTACACGAGGTACACACACATTTGTGTGAGCCCATGTGCGTGTGTTCCTGGGTGTAGAGTACATGCACATGTGTGAGTGTGTATGTGGACATTGAGTGTTTTCTTCAGTTACTCTCCACCCTCATTTTTGAGACAGGCTATGTTCCTGAACCCGGAGCTCATCAACTCAGGATGGCCAGCCAGCCCCAGCAGAGATCTCCCTGGGCCAGCCTACCCAGCACTGCAATCACACAGTTTTGCACGTGGGCATTGGAGGTCAAACTAGGTCAAGCACTTGACCGACGGAGCCATTGCCACAGCTCCTTGAATTCTTCATTTTTGAAACAAGAAGATCTGCAGCGAACCACAATTCCAAATAGTTTTACTCCCCCGATTTTGTGAGGTTGTGGTTAAAAGCAGCTCCCCAGAGAAATCACTAAAGTTCCCTAACATTTCCATTTTTCTTGTGTGAGCCACCTTTGGAATTAGTTTGGATTAAATATTGAATTTTGTTTAAATATATATTTTTATATAATTAGATTATTTTTTACATTCCCAGTGTGGCATTCTTTTTCTTTCTTCAGTTGCTGAGCTTGTATGGACAGATGTGGCTGCATTTTAAAGACTTGGTATTGAAACCAGCTCTCGCGGATGTGACGCTCATAAATTGATATTTTAACCAGTGGAGTTATATGGCCACTGCTTCTTAATTTACTTTGTGACGACCAGTCTGTCTGGGGATAACTCTGGCCTTGTAGACTGTTGTTGACTGCTGAGTGTATTCCTAGTTCTCTTGTGATGTGGGGACAGGAAACAGACTCTCAGACACATTCACACTCAGGGAAAACAGACGCTCGACTCTGCCAGGATGCCTGCTGGGGCCAGATTTCCAACTGGAACAGTAACATTTAAAAATGCTGGTATACAAATACTATTATAAGCTTCTTTTGAAATGAATGTTTTTCTTAATATTTTACACAAAGGAGGAAAATGTGGCTTTAACTAGTAAGAAGTGTGTTTTTTTAAACTACAAAAATAAAATTAAAGCACATTAAAATCATGAAAGCTAAAATGAAAAGGAGATGATGATAGCATTGCAGTAAACATCATTTTCTAACATTATAACCTTTGATCTATGTGTATGAGCTCCGGTAATTGTCAGACACAAGCGTCTGACACAAGCATACCTTTGGTTCTGTTCTTCAAAGAGTTGAAATATTCTTTCACATATTCTTCTTAGTTGTCATCTTTATTTTTATGTTCTGAACAGGTTGGAAACGCATTCAGAGGGCTACCAGGATACAAGGACATGCGTGTTCTTGAATTCAGGTAAAGAGATGTACTCTAAGAACGCGTGTGTGCCGTGCTGCCCTTTGTCTGAGTGGACTAGCCTGGTGTTCACCACATATATTCTAACAGCTCGTGATTGGAGTGCTGTAATAATGTTACTTCTGGTGAATTAATTAATACTAGTATTGTACAAGTGAAACTGAGTTAATGAGAGTTAAAGTAATGTATCCATGGAGATGTAGCTCAGTCTGAGGCTGGACTGTAGTAAGATCCTAGGCGTTGTTTAGACCAGCTATGCAGCTCTCATTTGGCACTGGGCCCTGGAGTCAGATTAGAAGTGACTTCAGGCTTTCTCTGAAGCTTCTCAGTGTTGTAGTGAGGTAACTGTCAATCCTCAGAGCAGACACTTCCAACCCTCCTTTCTGGAGAGACAAGCAGGTTAAAGGAATCAACTAGCCTACTGTGGGCAAGCAGCTCTCACCTGAGGGTGGAGGAGGGATTTTGAAATGAAATAGCTCATATTTCAGGGCTTGCTCTTTACCCCCACACGAGAGTCTTCCATTTGGGGGCCGGGAAATTGCTTTTGCCCGGATATTGGATATTGGGACACAAGTTGGGGCTGTGCTTCATGTTCTCAGCAGTACTTGTGGTGGCAGCAAGTGTTTATGTAGCACGTTAGTGTGCCTGTGTGTGTGTGTATGCATGCACGCACATGTGCGTGTGTATGTATGGTGCCCAGGTTCCTTCGGTAAAGAAGCTACAGGGGTAAAGAAGCTAAGGTTCCTTCGGTAAAGAACCTTGTCTTGAACCCCTCCCCCAGAACAGAGACAATTGAAATCACTAATCCAAGGGCAAGTAACTACCTGGTGCAGGGAGGCAATGCCTGTTGCACTATCTACTTGACCTTATGCCACAACAGCCCTTCCAGCGGAGCGCTGCAGCACCTCCACGATGACCAGAACGAAGGCTGTTGACGATCTCACTCATCTGGTAGCTGTGACACACATGACCTCTAGAGTCATCTTGTCTAGCTTGTCTGCTGGGAATGCTGCCTGTGCACCTTGGGCTGGATGGCTTTGATTGGAGTACTCAACCTCAACTTTTCCTCTGCATAAAATAAATTCACCTATGAGTCCCACTTTAAAAAAGCTTTTGTAATACTCTGGGGAAATTAATGATGTCTTTGTTCTTTAGTCTCTTTACAGGCAAGGTGGATATTAGCAGTCCTTAATGAATCTTAATGAGGATTAAGTGAATTAATTTTTGTAAAGCGCTTAGCACAGTTTCAGGTGTAGGGGATGTTCTTTTTTTAAAAAAAATTTGTTATTTTGTGTATATGGGTGTTTTACCTGCATGTAACTCTACACTGCATGTGTGCAGTTCCTGCCCCCTCAGAAGCTAGAAGAGGGTGTAGGATCCCCTGGGACTAGAGTTACAGACAGTTGTGAGCTGTCATGTGGATGCTGGGGATACAATATGTCCTCTGGAAGAGCAGCCAGTACTCTTAACAGCTGAGCATCTTTCCAGACCAAGAAGATCTATTTGATGCCTGTTATATAAAACAGACAAAGACTAAACACTATGCAATGTACCGTAGGCTAGCTGGGCGGACCTTTACCAATGGTCTTAGTACAAGTGCTTTTAACTACTGAGCCATCTCTCCAGCCTGACAGTCCTGATTTTAATACCAACAATTGAAACCTTCTGATGATCTGCCAATAAGTTGATTTACAGAGATGAATAACACACTTAAGAAGTATTTTTAGGGTAAATTAAAAAAAAAAACTGTAAAACCCCTTGGCTTTAAGATGACTTCTCTCTTTCTTCACCTTCATTTCCTTTTGTTTTTTTGAGGCACAATCTTTCTATGTAGGACTGGTTGTCCTGGACCTTGGTATATAGACCAATAGGCTAGCCTCAAGCTCACTTCTTTTTTAACACCATAGATCTGATTTGGATACATATTTTCCTTAAGAAGACATTTCAAATAGCAATGAATGATGTGACAGTTATAAAGATAATTGAACTCTAACTGATACTTTTGTTCTTTTCAGGTCTCCTCAGGAAAATGGCAGGTAAAAGTCCCTTTTAGTATTTCTTTATTGTCCACTGTTAGTATCTAGTGCTGGGGCACAGGAGAGCACAGCTCAGGTCTCCAGGCTCCCCTAGTCTCATTGTGCCACTCCTTATAGGCCAGAAGTGGGCAAGCTACAAAGAGCCATGATAAACATTTTAACCTTTGAAGGCCATAGAGTCCCTATTGCAACTTCTCATGCCATAGACACAGGAGACGCATTGTTAACTAAAGAGAACAGCTGTTCCCCAGTGAAGCTTTGGTCACTGTCTGTGGTGGTACACACCCATAACCTTAGTTTTTAGACCCGAGGCAGGCTGATTGCCAGTTCAAAACCAGCCTGAGTTGCATAGTGAAATTCTCTGTCCATAAAAAAAACAAACTTGCCAAGACAAAAATCATTTGTTTTAAAAAATTAATTTAATTAATTTTTATTTTATGAACAGTGATTGGTGCTTTGCCTGTATGTGTATCTGTGTGGGGGTGTCACATCCCCTGGAACTGGAGTTACAGACAGTTATAAGCTGCCATGTGGGTGCTGGGGAATTGAACCTGGGTCCTCTGGAAGAGTAACCAATGTTCTTAACTGCTGAGCCATCTCTCCAGCCCAATGAAAACCATTTTATGAACACTGAAATAGGAGTTCCGTAGACATTAGGCTGAAGTGCACTCATAGGCTAGGACTGATAGCTAACTGACTACTGTTTTAAATAGTTAATTTAAAATAAAAATAAAACTCATTAGCAAACACACTTTCAAGTCCTTTGTGCCAGTCAATCAAATGAACTTTAAGGTGCATTTGATGAAGGTGATATCATTGAACTTTATGATAGCTTATTTGTAAAGATAACTGTTCTTGAAATTTTAGGAAGCACAATGCAAAGACACAATCAGTCATCCCCTTTTTTGAAAATTGCTGTTTTTGTCCATTGGACTCTTAATTTACTTCTCTTAAAAGCCTCGTAAATACAAATGGAGTCCATGAAGCAAATTTGTGGTGAACTATAGGAGTGTTCAGCCATTACAGAAATGCTCCTTCATTGCAGTCAGCTCGGCATCTTTGGCTTCCACATCTGTGTATCTGTGGATTCAACTAACTGCTCATGAAAATACTATAGAACAGAAATCAAAAACAAAGATATTGTAGTGAATGTATACAGGCCTTTTTGGGTTGTCATTATGCCCTAGATAGCATTTACATTGAGAAGCATTCTAGAGAGGATTTAAAATCTAACCCACAGGGGTCACATACCAGATATTTACATTATGGTTCATAGCAGTAGCAAGACTACAGTTATGAAGCAGTAATGAAATAATTTTATGGCTAGGGTCACTACAACATGAGGAGTTGTATTAAAGGGTTGCATTAGGAAACCTGAGGACTACTGTTTTTAATTTTGTTTTTTAAACAGTTTTTTTTAAAAAAAAGTTTGTACACCAATCCCAATTTCCCCTTCCTTTCCTCCTACTAGTCTCCCCACCTTCTTCCTCACTCCAGCCACTCCTTGGAGAGGGTAAGGCCTCCCACGGGCAGTCAACAAAGTCTGTCATATCACTTGAGGCAGGACCAAGGTCCTCCCCTCTGAATCTAGGCTGAGCAAGGTATCCCAACATAGGGAATGGGCTCCCAAAAGCCAGTTCATGCACCAGGGATAACTCGTGCCCCCACTGCCAGTGGCCCCACAAATTTCCCAAGCTACACAACTGTCACCCACATTCAGAGAGCCTAGTTTGGTCCCCAGCTGTCAGTACGAAGTCAGTGAGCTCCCATTAGTGTGGGTGAGCTGTTTCTGTGGGCTTCCCATTACAGTCTTGACCCCTCTGCTCACATTATCACTCCTACCTCTCTTTGACTGGACTCTGGGGAGCTTTGTATCAGCTTCCATCAGTTGCTGGATAAAGGTTCTATGATGACAATTAAGGTCATCAATTTGATTAGAGGGGAAGGCCAGTTCAGGCACCCTCCCCACTATGGCTTAGATTCTTTCTTTTTCTTTTTCTTTTTTTTACTGATTTTATTGAGCCCTACATTTTTCTCTGCTCCACTCCCTTCTCTCTCCTCCCTTTAACCCCCCTCCCATGGTCCCCATGCTCCCAATGTACTCAGGAGATCTTGTCCTTTTCTACTTCCCCTGTAGATTAGATCCATGTATGTCTCTCTTAGGGTCCTCATTGTTGTCTAGGTTCTCTGAGATTGTGAATTGTAGGCTGGTTATCTTTGATTTATGTCTAAAAGCCACTTATGAGTCAGTATATATGATGTTTGTCTTTCTGGTTCTTGCTTACCTCACTCGATATGATGTTTTCTAGATCCATCCATTTGCCTGCAAATTTCAAGATGTCATTATTTGTTTCTGCTGTGTAGTACTCCATTGTGTAAATGCACCACATTTTCCTTATCCATTCTTCGATCGAGGGACATTTAGGTTGTTTCCAGGTTCTGGCTATGACAAACAATGCTGCTATGAACATAGTTGAGCATATGTCCTTGTGGTACAATTGAGCATCCTTTGGATATACATCCAAAAGTTACATTGTAGGGTCTTGAGAAAGGTTGTTTCCTAATTTTCTGAGAAATCGCCATAGTGATATCCAAAGGGGTTGTACCAGCTTGCACTCCCACCAGCAATGCAGAAGTGTTCCCTTTACCCCACAACCTCTCCAGCATAAGTTGTCATCAGTGTTTTTGGTCTTGGCCATTCTTACAGGTGTAAGATGGAATCTCAGAGTTGTTTTGATCTGCATTTCTCTAATGACTAAGGATGTTGAGCATTTCCTTAAGTGTCTTTCAGCCATTTTAGATTCCTCTGTTGAGAGTTCTCTGTTTAGGTCTGTACTCCATTATTTTATTGACTGATTTGTTCTTTTGATGACCAATTTCTTGAGTTCTTTGTATATTTGTCTGTTTGGAGATCAGACTTCTATCTGATGTGGGGTTAGTGAAGATCTTTTCTCATTCTGTAAGCTGTTGTTTTGTCTTGTTGACCGTATCCTTTGCTTTACATAAGCTTTTCAGTTTCAGGAGGTCCCATTTGTTAATTGTTTCTCTCAGTGTCTGTGCTACTGGGGTTATGTTTAGGAAGTGGTCTCCTGTGCCAATGCATTCAAGTGTACTTCCCACTTTCTCTTCTGTGAGGTTCAATGTGGCTGGCTTTATGTTGAGATCTTTGATCCATTTGGACTTGGGTTTTGTGCATGGTGATAGATGTGGATCTATTTTTATTTTTTTAACATGTTGATATCCAGTTATGCCACATTGCTTAGAATCTTAACTGGGGTTATCATTGTGGATTCCTCAGACTTTCCCTAATGCCAGGTTTCTTGAAGTAAGTCGAAAGATGCATGTGGTGTCTATTCCACTGCGGCTCAGGTGCTTGGACTTCGTGGGATTTGGTGTGCGTGGAATGAGGAAGAACACTGCAACCAACCCCAATAAACACCTAGGTTTGAAAATGTGTTTCTGATTTCATTTACATTTTTTGACAGGTATTTATGAAATGCTTTGTTATTGAGCAAACACCATGCATAGAGAAATGAATAGTTTTTGGGTTTTGAAATGCATAGGGTGATAATCCTTTTTTTTTCTTAAAATTTTGTCATCTTTGTACCCTTGTAGAATAGTAAAATGAGGATTTGTATTTGTATCTTTTGGCTAATGAGGACATTTTGTTTTAGAGAGACATATTGTCTTGTTGAAAGTTCATGACTAGGAGATATCAGATATCTTGATCAATCAGAATTTGGGTTTCTACTTTTAGTGATTGTGACATGCTCTGCACTATGCACTCAAGAGATCTAGCTGTTTAGTTACTTCCTATGGTGATCAGACTGTGGAAACAGCCCTAAAATTTGAGGCTAGCCCTAGTATCGACAGGATGGGTAGTAGCCATTTGCTGACTGCTAACAGTCTTGTGTAGAACACAGAAAACATGAAGTTACTACATTAGTATAGAACATTAGCCAGGACAGAATTTTCAAAATTGTGTAGTGTTATCAGGTAGTGTCAGCTAGATGGCCGAACTGATTTGTAAATTTGATATGCTAGTGTTCGGAGTTGTGCATGAGCGACCATGTAGAACAGAAATAAAGAATCTACACTCCATCCTCCTTTGCCACCAGCATTTAGATGCATGTGAAATTTTTGATTTTCTTTTTACTACGTGAAATCCCCACTTACTACACAGACTTAGTAGAACCCAATTGAAAGGAACAGATAGCATGCTGATCTGGTAGACACATGTCCCAACTTCAGCTTCAGGCATTGTAAGCAAGCATACACTTTCTTTCTAGAAGAGACATTACTAGGGAGGCATTGTCTGAGTCTCCCTGAGATACTCTACTCTTATTCAGCTTGAGTGATGATATGTAAAATGTGTACAGCAAACTAGCCAGTTGGGGTATCTGGGGAGAGAGACTAAGGGCGAATCTTTCCTCCATATGATTGACACCTAACTGATGGGTTCCAGGGTGATTCACACTGAAATGCACCTGGTGCCACGGTGGCCGGCTACCTCAGGTTACTGGGTGTGGGGCCAGCACAGCTTTCTTCAATCAGAAATGTTCTGTCTACCCCTCTTGTGAACTTCCTTGGCATCTTGAAATTTTAAAAAATTTCCTTCATCCAGAGCAGTCTTTGCACTTTATGGCTTGCCAGAGTGCAGCTTTCCTGGGTCACAGTGAAGTTCTTGGCTTTAGGAATACATGATTTCTTGGTATTGCAAGTATTTCTTTGAGTTCTTGTTCCAAGACAAAAACATGATAATAAATTATACTATCTTTCTGAGTCATTTTATCTTTCTTAATGAATTTGTCTTTATTAGACGAGATATGTTATAGAAGACATATTATCTTTAGATGAGCAATGCAAATACTGGGAGGCAAAATGATACTTTGTCAGCAAAGAACAAGGTTGGTAATCTAACACAGACTTCCCGATTTGCATAGATTTCTCATCCAAGAACATTTCTCATGATCTTCTCTCCTTCATGTCTAAAAGCCATGCAAGGCACATGCTACCCTGCCAATAAATAAGTGCTTGACTTTCCTTGGCCGATATTTCATGTAACAAGGAAGCCATTGGAGTTCTGTTAGGCACAGCCTCAACTTCTTCCTCCTTCTCTTCCTCCCCCTACTCCTTTTCCTCTCCCCTTCCTCCTTTTCTTAATTGTTACCATTGTTTCCTGTCTTAGAGTCATGATAACAGTAAAGAAAGTATAATATGTTATACGGATACCTTGAGGAGGAGCCCAACTTTCTGAATATGCAGATGTGGTTTATCCCACCAGGCTCGCGAAGAATGTGGCATTGAGTTGTGGGTGACCTGGAAACAATATCTCTAAATGAGTACTGAACACAAATGTATGAAGAAAATAGACGTGCTCTTCAGGGTAAAAGTCGTTCCTTTTATATTTAGAGACAGAAAATATTCCAGCCTAAAAGATGAAGTGCCCTTTAAGTGGCAAAACTAAAAATGATCTGATCTGTTTATATTAGTGACAGCATCCATCACTTTGCCATTACTTTGGGAAGTATTTATTGAGCTACTATGAGTTAGGCCTTGTTTTGAATGCTTGGAATACATTGTTCTGATGTTTAGAATGACAACGGTGTCTGTCCAGACGGTGGGAGAGAGAGAACATGACCCATGTTGTCAGTGTGAGAAAGAAACCCCCTGAGGAGGTGACAGTCAAGCTGAAGCATAAAAGGCATAGGAAGGTGAAGGAGGCACGCACACGTTCGTTCATGAGTATAAGGGGATGCATGGACTGGGGGAATAAGTGGACATCAAAGATCTGAAGATCGGTATAAGGGGATGCATGGACCTGGGGGAATAAGTGGGCATGCAAGGATCTGAGGATCGGTATGTGGCACCTGGACATCAAAAGACCAGAGGTTTCCAAAGAGAAATGGGGAGTGTGGCATGGTAAGTTCAAACCAGAAGGCGTCCTCTTATTGTTTTATGCCTTGAAATCATCACATAATTCCTTTCCTTAAAGAGAAAGATTGAAAATTACTCACAGATTAACCTTTTAGCCTAAATCATTAAAAGGCTTTGATTGCTTGAGGGACTGAGGACATGCCCTTCACACGTCGTAATGGCTTTCAGTCACGTTCACCTCCTACCCTCTTTTGTCCCCCTCATATTCCCACTAGTCTCCTTTCTCTACTCAATGCTATCTAACTAGCTCCCTTGGTACCTTGATGCCTTTTCTCCTTGGAATGTGGCTGAAGGTCTGTTTACTGGAGTATCAGTTATCACTTTTAAAGAGCTCAAAGTCACCCTTTAGAATAGGATGCTTGTCAGATCTGGGAGGAAATCAATACTGAAAGGACCCAGAATTTCTTTTTCTCAATGTAATCAATTATGTATGTTAACAGGCAGGGTAGGGAGGAATATTGGAGAGGTCTGGTTGCTTACGGGCATCCTCTATAGACTAGGGTATCATCTGCACTATGCTCATCAGGACGGGCCTGAACAATACAGTACTTACAGGTAGGAAAGGAAGACTTCTAAAGACCACTGCACGCTCCCTAAACCGTAAAAGACAATTCTTTTCAATCGATCTTTTTCAAATGGGAAATGCACCCACCAACTGTGTGAGTTTTGCATTGGCTAGCTCATGTATTCCTTCCCCATAGGAAAACCCATGAGAAGTTACAATCAAAAGTCTCTTTCATAAGCTCAAACCCAGGGGAAGTTGGGTGACCAGAATGACCACTCTCATCAAACCAGGACAGTTTGTTATATTTGTTTTTAACCTATGGAAATACCTTTAAAGAAGCCCCAATACACTGGTGCCCATGTGAAGGTACAGTCTCACCTCTAAGGGGATAAGATTATTAATTCTGGAGTCAAATATGAGTGGCTGTGTCCTAGAAACACAGGTTCCATGTTACCCAAATTCCATGTTCTGATGTGGTAAAGGTTTCAAGGAGTTTTATAGTAACAGGATAAATAGTAACAGATGCTGTTTCAAATACAGCGAGAGAAACACGGACAGACGGGCACAGAAAAGCAGGAAATGTCAGCTGTAGGCCTTAGATGGCGTCTGATGGCCATCTTAGCCTTTAGGTGGTGGAAATTAGGGGTCTGTTTGCACAATCCGAGGAATTTACCTCCTAGTCACAAAGATGTTTGGTCACACACAGAGGAGGCTAGTACATGTCTATGAATAGGACTAAAGATGACCCAAGATAATTTGCCTCTAGTCTTGCAATATTTCAAACTTTCCCATCATTAAAGTCCTAATCAGTTAATCAGCCTTCCTGAAAGTTCAGTAAAGATGACATTCATTCAAGAAACTTCATTTCATGTCTAGATTTCTGCTTATGTAATAGACACGGGGTAGCTCTCAGTATGAATTGCCAAGATGAATATTGGGACTGGAAACTTAAGAAGAGAGAGAGGCAGTCACAATAACAAAATCTTTTTACAAGCACATGACAGTTATAATCGAGTAGGTACCCGTTCAATTGTGGATGATATACTCACATACATATGATATACTCAAGTACATATCTACATCTGTGCACACAAATATTTAATTTCCTGGGAAGATGCTGTCTGTTTTTATGTTTTGAGTTGGTAATCATTTGCTGCCATGGAATGTCTGAAATAGATATCTTCCATTACACATCTGGCTTGAGTGGTGTTTTTGTTCTTGGCCCTGGAGGTATCATGTGTACCAGATGTGCAGGCTGTGTGAAGAGGCAAGCTGGGGGCAGTGTAGTGGTGAATGACACAGAGATGCCCTCATAATGACTCTGTCAGGTAATTGCGTGGTGCTGAAGCGGAAGCCTGGTTGCGCCACATCTTCACTGCAAAATTCCAAGGAGCCTTTTGCCTTCTCTTCTAACTTTATTATTGTTTCCTTAATAATATTCTGAAAACATAAAACTTTTAATAAACTTTTGTGAAAACTAATTGAGACAAAGGCATGTTGAGAACACTTAAAAGCTATTAGTGTTTGGTTGTTAGAGATGCCTGAGTGCGTGGGGGGGGTGACTGACTGTCCAGGAGACACGTTCCCATCGGCTCCCAACTTTATCTTCTTATATTATTTCTTCAATGGCTAAGGAAATGTAAAACATCACACCAGCTACTGCTTGTTTGTTCTCCCTCCTTTATCCTACCTTCTTTTCATTTGCTTGTACAAAGGGTTAGTGAAAAAGCTTACTTTGTAAATAGTTGTTTGTTACCACTTCCTGTTGTTCCATTTCATTCATAAATGAAGGAATCATCAAAAGAAAAAAAGATAAAAGAGAAAAATAGGAAAAAAACCCATAAGGATCTCTAAGTTAAATATAGAATTAGTAAGCGTCAGAGTGTCGTAAACAGGTCAAGAGAAAAATCTTGTCATAACACCCTTTGCAGTTTCACATTAAATTTATTGAACTGTAAATTCTCTGGCCCGTCACTCAGAAGTAGGTCTCCTGAAAGAGTCACATAGCTGTCATTCCAGAAAATATCCTAGCCTGCTGTCTGTCTGTCTGCTTATCTGTCTGTCTATCATCTATCATTTTTCTATATTAGAAAAATAAGTTGCTTTATTTTCAAAAACATTTAACTTTTTACCTAAAAGTTTGAAATTTTTTCTCCTCAATGAATATCTATGGTTTAGTACCTAACTTTTCTGATAGCAATAATAAGGAGATATGAGAAAAATTTTAAATTATTTTGGGGAGGAGTTAGAAGGTGTGTATGTGTATGTGTGCGTCCATGCATGTGTACATGTGCATACATGCATGCCATACAATATGAACAGAGGTCAGGGTCAACTTGTGGAAGTTGATTCTCTCCTTCACACTATTGTGGGTCCAGGGATTGAACTCAGGTTATCAGGCTTGGTGACAAATTCCATCATTGTCTAAGTCATCTGAAGAGACCAATATATCTTTTCTAACAGAAGTATAAATTGTAACAAATCCTAATGCAAGAAATATCTTCCAGAGAAGAGAAGAGATAATACATTCTAGAGCCATATATAAAATGACTATGGCCTGGGAACATAGGTTTCGGTTGCACTAAATTCCATGTACCAACATGACAGTAGTTTCATGGTATTAGAGCAAAGAATGTCCTAAGTCAGCATATTTTTAAAATACAGTGGTGGAGATATAGGGGAAGTGGGTCATGATAAAGTGGAGAAATCTCTGTTATAGGCCCCTGATGTTATCTTAGTTTTGGGGTTGGTAGGAGCTGGAGCTCTGTTTGCACATTATGAAGGATTTATCTAATAGTAACACGGGCGTTATGTCACCCACAGAGGCGGGCAGTAAATGGCTATTACTTTGGCTCTGGCCTTGAGACATCCCAGCCTCTCCACACCACTGAAGTTCTGAATAGTTTGCCAGCCTCGACAGTTAGATTTTCTCCCCAGGAACTCTTGTTCACATAGAGGAAGAAGGAAGACGGGAATTATTGAAAAGAAAGGAGTTGGCTTTGAAAGAAAGGGAAATGGTACAAAATGTGGTGCATGAAGAACCTCTGATACTGTGGTAGGGTTAACTCTGTGGCTTCCTTAGAATTCTAGTCCTGTTATTGAAGCTATGACCCTCCGTTCTCTGGGGAGGGGAGGAGGTGCCACGTTTTGATAGAATCCCCCTCTTGACCTAATGCTGTCTCTAGACCCAAAGCTGCTTTCTTGTGCTCTTTTAGCTGGACCTAATCTGTTCCCCTGTCATCCACAGTGGGATCGACGTTCTCTATGCGGTTACCTTCAATGGTGAGGCCATCAGCAATACCACCTGGGACCTCATAAGCCTTCACTCCAACAAGGTGGAAAACCATGGCCTTGTAGAGCTGGCCGATAAGCCCACTGCTGTTTACACAATTAGCAACTTCAGAGAGTACATCGCTGAGACGCTCCACCAGAACTTTCTGATGGGAAATTCCTCTTTGAATCCAGATCCCAAGTCTCTCCAGCTTGTCAATGGTGAGCTGACTATCACTCCTGACATCCGTACGTAACTTCCCTCCTTTTCCGATATCGTCTGGTGAAGATTCACCTCACTAATATATATGGTTCTCCTTTCTTAGACTGCACAAGACAGGACCCATGCTGATGGATCCCAACAGTCATTTGGGTTAGATTATCCTGGGCTTCCTGGAATGTGTCTTCCCAGAAGGTCACAGAGTGGGGAAGTGGAGAACAACATGGCAGTTAGAAGCAGCTTGAAGGGGGAACAGAGTGTAAAGAAAAGGAAATATGAACCGCAACAGGCTGCCGTGCTGCACGGCAACCGCAGTGTGAGCCGTTGAAAAGGCCGGTGGACCAAGGCTTAAGAATTGGCAGAAAAGGAACCATGGAGGAAAGCTAAGGGAAGCTGGCTTAAAGAGCCAGATGCTGAGCCCCGAAAGCTCAACACGAAGTTCGACTTTCGGTAACTGTGGCAATCCTGTCATGGGTCACAATGAGCAGATGGAGCTGGGATCATAAAGGAAAGGGGGACAGAGTTCTATCTTATTTGCTGTTATTGCCTATTTTCTGTTTGCTTTGCCACGATGTCGTCACGTATGGGCTCTTTAACCTTTAAAATTTCCAGCGTAACATAATTAACTGAAGTGAGAAATGAGGAAAAAAATGTAAGTTGCTAAAGTGGAAAATGAGAAACATACTTATGATGATGTCTTAAAATTATTTATTTATTTATATGGATGAGTGTGCACACCACAGTGTATGTGTGGCGGTCCTAAGCCGATATGTGGGAGTCTGTCATTTCCTTATACTATTTGGATCCTGGGGGTTGAACTTGGGTTGTCTTGCTTGGTGGTAGCAGGGACCTTTCACACTAAGCCATCTGCTGGCCCTAATGATTCATTCTTAGAAGAAGAGGGTAACACTCTAATTGACCAAAGAATGATTTGTGAGTAATGTATCCCCGAGACCCAGGACATATTCTACGACTCTCCAGAATGTTTATTAATAGAAAATTGGAAGTGACATATAGGAAATAGGACCAAGGACCAAGGTATGGAGAGGAATTGTTTAAAACTTCGCTTTTGCCTCATGTGAGCATGGTCTCATGGAAGCGCAGCTATTGTGATTGGCTGATCATTGGCTTTGTGTTACAGATTTCTAAGTTTGGTTTGCATTTTGTCTAGACGCTCGTTAAATCAGGCTGCAGATCAGGGTCGGAGAGACCAAGTTTTGTGAGCGCAGCAGCTTGCTTAGGCCATGTTAATTTGCTGTAGAACCTTTCAAACAGCCTCCTTCTGTGGTTGAGTGTGTGATGTGTGCTGCAGATCTCAGATACAGCAGTGTCTCAGAAATAATGCCTTACATTGTCTTTCCTCAGTGAGAGGAGTTTTGCTCCCCCAGACAGAAGACATAGCTTCTTGGAGCACCGAAAGTTCAAGTTTTCAGGTGCCAGCACCCTCTGCTCTGGTAAGCCCCTATGCCTTAGGCCAGCCCTACCCCTGAAAGCGCTCTTCTTTGTAGCCTCTGCCACTTTGGCATCGAGATTTCACCTCCCTGTTCCTGTTTCAAGCATTCTGCTGCATGTGCCTGGATCATCACGCACAGTGGAAAGCTCAAGGGGACCAAATATTGGTTCAGAAAATTTAAGCCTTTCTCAGTGGTTGAATGAAGTTTGGATTGCAGACACCACATGGGGCATAAGTACCTGCTGCTCAGACTTGTTAGAGGGTAATTAAGCTGTAAGTGCCACTGAGTTGTTTTTCAGTTACCTAGAAATAGTTTTTTTTTTAAATAGCCAAGGCTACACATTGATATTCATAACTACAGAATAGAAATTTTTTATTTCAAAGATTATGTGTTGAGGGAAAGTTGAGCTATGGCGGTAGAATAATGTATGGAAGGGAAAAAGAGTGATGATATTGCCTAGCTGAAAAATACTCCTATTTTTAATCCTAAAATTAGTTGTTCTCTTAAGTGAATTTTATTGTTTATTATTATTTTATGTGTGTGTACTCATAATATATGTGGGGGATGCACACGGAGTGTGGAGATCAATAGCCAACTCTGGGAAGTTGATTTTCCCCTTCTCCGTTTTTGTGGGGTCAGGCATGCCTCTGAACTCGGGCTGCAGGCTTATGCAGCAAGCTTTACCCAGAGAGCAGTCTCTCCTGCTCACAGCCCTCCTTTAAGTCGGAGTGCAGCATTTCCATCTGTGCAGAAGCAGAATGGAATGAATCCTCCCTTTTGTTCTTACCATCCCCTTTCCCCACCACATCTCTATTTCCCATTTCACTTATAGGGAGATATTGAGGAGAAAAGAATACTTCCTCGTGTGTGTGAAGCCGCAGAATTGACACCACCAATGCCAACACAAGGACTCCTGTGTGGGGAGGGTTCAGTGTTAGCACAGGGACACGTAGGTGGGGGTGGGGGGACTCTTCACATCTGACAGCCATAGATCACGTTCTTGCTTTCTTAAAATGTCTTCATACCAGCTGTTTGAAATCATTGTTTCTTGAAATTAGAACTCTAATGGGAAAAATTTGAGATTAAATGTGAGATTAAACTAAAAAAAAATTTGAGATTAAAATTATATCATTACCCCTTTTCTTTCCTCCCTCAAAACCCTCCCATGGACTAACCTTTTTTTCTTTCAAATTCATGGACTCTTTTTTTTTTATTTTATTTTTTTTTAATTTTTTTTGTTTTCTTCTTTTTTTTAAAATTGCTTTTATGTGTACGCGTGCACACGCGCACACACACACAAACACATACACACACACACACTCCTAAATGCACAAATACAACTTGTTCAGTCCATATAATGTTACTTGTATACTATGTATTTTTTAGGACAACAATAGAAATTAGAAAGCAAATTTATTTGATCATTAATCTATATAACCATCTGTTTTACTGAGTAACTTAATTTTAAGTGTGGAGTTATCAGAAATACACTTTTCTTTTTTTTTCCTACCATGTGGTTGCTGGGAATTGAACTCAGGACCTCTGTAAGAGCAGCCAGTGCTCTTAATCTCTGAGCCATCTCTGCAGCCCAGAAATATACTTTTCACTGAGTACTATATTAGAGATGAGATCAGACAAGAACAGGCACATTCAGGGAGGTATGGCCGTAAACAAGCTCTGTATTGGAGAAAGAATGGTTTGCGGATATTGACATTAGATGGCACATTAATTAGATGTTTGCTTACCTCTCCATTCAAATGTATTTATTTGTGCTTTTTATGTGCCAGGTACCAAGGTAACTAAGTGGAATGGGTGTGGTTCTGCCCATGAGAGACGGGTGGCAGACAGATTTCCAAACAAATAAGATGACACAGTGTTACGGGCGGTCACCAGAGATGACCACTCAGACACAGAGTAGAGCCAATTAAGAGTCTTTATTCCAGCCAGCTGGGACCACACCAAGTGTTCGGGGACCTAGGTGTGGCCCTGAGTGTCCACAACACACCCGGGTTTTGAAGGCAGAGACCTTGTCCAGGTGTCTCGCTCAGCAGCCGCATGGGGCTTTGCAGAGTAAGCAGTTTGAAGCCAGCAGTTTAAGAGAAGCTAAATTCAACGGGAGGGAGTTCCATATAAACAGGCAGATGAGATGAGGGGTGAGCTAGAGGAAGTTCTGCACAAACAAGCATTTTTAGCAAAGGCTAAGCTAAGTTAGCTAGGACATCCTGACTATTGATTCTTAGAATGGCATTGGGTAGTTTTCCATGGGATTCTACATCAAGAAGATCAGAGTCTAGTTAAACCTGGAAACAGCTTCAGCAACAGTACAAGACAGAGAAACCTCTGCCCTATCTGTCCCCATCTCAATAGCTCCTCTCCTGAAGTCCATTCAGAATGAAGACGCAAGGCTTCCTACAGCCCAACTTCTAATCCCATCATCCCGGGACCTCTCAAACCACAGGCGAGCTGTGGTGGTAGTTTATAAACAGAATTAATGATTTTGGGGATGACCGTAGAGGTCAGTCTATAAAGGGCCTGCCACTCGAACATGACAAACTTTGTTCACATTCCCAGCATCCACATAAAAAGTGGGTGTAGCAGTGCTCATCTGCCACACTAGTGCTAGAACAGGGGTGCAACTGGGTCCCCAGAGCTTGTTAATCTAGACTGTTGGTGAACTCTAGATTCACTGAGAAACCCTGTCTCACAAGCTAAGATAGAGAGTGAAAGAAGAATATATGTAGCATCAGCTTCTAGACTCCACATCTCACATACTCCCAGCCCCAAACACATGTCCATGTACACACACACGCACACACATGCAGTGAAAAGACAAGACTTTCTTTATCAGCCAGAGGTTGCCAGTTGGTACCATTTAGCTGGATTCAGAATGGGACATGTGTTTTGAAACTAATTTTGAAAAGTTAGTGTCTAAACATTAGGTTTTTTACATAAGAATGCAGATTTTTATCTTCTTTTGAGAACTAGGACTAACTGATACCATGAAGTCCCCATTCCCTTCTGCCCCAAAGTTGTCAGAGTGTTGCTGTGGCTGTCAGTCAAGGATGACAAACACTGGCTAACTGGGCTTATCATCAGTAACCCTGTGGTGCTCCATTGTCCCTGCAGCCAAACTCTTTATGAGAAGTGCAGGAAATTAAGTAACCATTTAAGGAAGGTAGAGTATGTAAAAAATTATTAATACATAATAATGTGTGGAGTAAATGTGAGTTTTTGTCAATACACAACATGATCAAATGAGGGTAACTGGTCATCTATGATCAAATATTTATCATAATTTTGTATGGTGGAGATAATTGACCTTAGTTATTTGAAATGGGCCACAAGTTGTTGGTTAACTATAGTTGTTCTGTTATGCTATAGAGTACTAGTTCCTTCTAGCTGTGATTTTATACCATGAACCTCGATCTTTAGATCCCTGCTTCCCCTACATTTCCTAGCCTTTGCTGCCACTATTGTATTCACCACATCCACAAAACCTAGTTGATTTGTTAGCTTCTAATATTTATGGGAACATGAAAGAGTTAGACATTGTAATGTTGATGAGTGGCAATAAGACATAGCAATTATTGACTTCAAATGTACAGTTATTGTTTGCTTCCTTCCTTTCTGTAATGTTTTACTTTATTAGAGAAGTGACGTTTGTTACCTAAATTAACATTTTAGAGGTGGGAAGATTAAATTTGGAAGCTCTTGGCATCCCAGTTATGAAAATCACTTGTTTTTCACTATGCCTTCTTCAGAACTACAAAGTTCTTCACATGGAAATTAGAACCAGTGAAACTTACCAGCATAACATTAAATGCTGAATGAAAAAGAATTCGTGAGTTGAATTTGTTACTAGAAGCATCTATTGATACAAAAATAAAGAAATCACCCATCTAAGTTCGAGTGGGAGAAACAGCAGTACTGGGAAACCCAGAGCCATGGCTTTAAATTCTGATAGTTCCTCTTTTTTTTCTTCTTTTGTGAATGTTTTGACCATTTAACTCCTATGAACATCTCTTTACCTGTAACATACAAGGCATGATTGGATTACCTGATTCTAGAGTCTTCCTAGGTTTAAAATTGATACATTTATATGTTGACATACTTGTGCATACTCTGCTCTCCTCCCATTCCTGAAGAATGGGTTGGTAAACTCCCTGAGCCTTTCACAAGTTAATATAGTTCCTTGACTTCCTTTTTCTTTAATATTCAGGATTTCAATTCATTATCCTATCATTTATTAATTAAACTTTTACTCTCTCCTTCAAATCCATTCAGAATAACTTAGACATTTTAAGGCAAAATCCAGGGCAGATTTGTGTGTCTATGTGGTGCTGAGTTACACAGGTTACCTTGCATACAGGTCAGCAATTGCAAGACACTTACACTGCACAGTTATTTAAGACTAACTGTGCTACCCGTGATTCCAGGCTCCCAAGATGCTACTGTTGACTGTGTGAGTGCTGAACGTTGTCTGTCTGATGAGATCTCCTCTACGACCAGTCTTCCTCTCTTCAGGGTCACACCTGTTGAAGAGCCCCCAATAGGGTGTTTTTCCTGTCTTGGAATCTTTTATTTTCTCTCTACCTTGTTTGCTTTTGCACCTCGTCATTTGAGGCTGGCCTTCCACTTCCTCCTTCACACACATACATTTTCACTTCTACCGTACATTTTACTTCAGCCAACTCAGCTTATTAGAATATTGGACTCTGGAGATGGGAAAGATGGTTTAGCAGTTAAGAGCACTTGCTACCTTCCCAGGGACCTGGTTCAGGTCCCAGCATCCACATGGCTGCTTACAACCATCTCTAACTCCAGTTCTTGGGTATCCAGTGCCTTCTCCTGGCCTCTGTGGGACCAGGCATGCATGCGGTGCAAAGCATTCATTCATGTAAACCAAAAGTAAAGAAATCTTAAAAGAGGAATATTATATGCCAGGCTAATGTCTAACATAGATTCAAATACACAAACTTCCACCGCATTATGACTCTTTTACCTATTAACAACTTCATCAATTAATTTCTTTTACATAGAGTAGCTTTCATAAGATTAAATAATTAGCACATTCAAGGGTTGTATTTCTGTCTACTTTCTATTTCTAAAGCCAAATGTTAATATAAAGTTTGGAGAAAGAGAAAAGTGCATTTGAGGAATGCAGCAATTTCATAAGTATGTCTTTTTATTTGAGACAGCAGCCCACATTGCGATATGATAACATTTTTCATAAAAAAATAAAGTCCCCTAATTAAACGCCTCTCAAAATAATGGATAAAATACTAATTTTTATTTCCTGTTGTGGGTATATGTTCAGGTCTGTGCCAAAAACGTTACATGTATTGCTATCTTCTATGTATTTAAAGTCATTTATGCCAAAAAGATAGAAGGAAATGAAACACCCAAAGCCGGAGAAACAGAGTTCTCTCTCAAGTGTTCACTTTGTTTCGAGTCTTCTAACTATGGTGTTTCACCTGGCCCTGTCGCAGGTGGATTTTAAGAGGCTAGGTGGGTTCTCTGTAGATTTTCAGACTAGTAGCTCGCTGAACTGGGATTTGATCCCCGACTATTTCCTTCAAGGACTCTTGTGTTCCTCCCACTCGGTATTTCCTTTCCATATGGTTCTTTTCTCTCTGATATGATGTAGCCTTTTTCTCCCTCCCCAGGATAACACCCTTCAAGCTGAATGGCTCTCAGCAGATGAGTCCACCACCACCAGTATCTCACCACTTGGTTTCAGCTCTGGTCCTCCCTCAGCCACTGGCAGGGAACTCCGGGAAGCAAGTGCTTTGGGTGATTTGGGGTCTACACCTAAATTAGCCTCTCCCTTGAAGGTGGTCCTCAGTTCTTCCCCAGAGGTTTCAGAGGGTAGCCACTTGACTCTTCATTCTGTTACCCCAGCAGTGCTTGAGATGGGCTTGCCTGTGGCTACTGAGGGAAGGACTTCTGGATCTTCCATATTAGAAGATGGTGAGAAACTTGAATCACTTTTTATCATTCTCTTCTGACTGGGGGCAAGGGCTTTGAAGAGATTCTAGTGGAGAGGAAAACAGGGTAGGGTCCCTTAGAGAGAAAATGTCTTGGGAAATGTGCCTGAGAAGAAAAAACAGATTTAAGTAGTCAGACTGGAAAATAAAAATCACTGTATCTTAAGAAACAGACTTGAGGAAGTAGGGTGGAGATCAGTTAAGAGATATTTTGAAGGTCATAGTGAATGATATATAATTAAATTACTGTACCTACTACTAACAACGAACTCTGCCTGCTTGAATATAGTGAACTACATGAAAGAAGATTATTCCAGTATGTTCTAATAAGATTATGGGAGAAGCTCTAAGGATTTTAGGTTATAGAATATTGAGGAGAATATAAACTAGGAAAGTCACAGAGAAATAGAGGCGGAAACAAAATAGTTAATCCTCTAGATCAGTGGTTCTCAGTATGTGGGTTGTGACAATGATCCTTTCCCAGAGGTCACCTAAGACCATTAAAAAGCACCGATATTTACATTATAGTTCATAATAGTAGTGAAATTGCAGTTATGAAGTATCAATGAAAATAATTTTATGGTTGGGGGCAACCACAACATCAGGAACTATGTTAAAGGGTCACAGCATTAAGAAGGTTGAGAACAAGAATGTTGTGGGATAGACTGTATGTGTGAAAGAGAAAATGAATAAAGATATAAATAATGGGTCTAGAATTTTGTACATGAGGGAAATATAAAGGATAAAGACAATAAACATAGAAGAGAAAGAGAAATATAACATCCAGAAAAAATTTTCCATAAATTTCCAGTGGATTCAATCTGTTTTGCAATATGGTTCTTTATTTTCATTGGACAGAAAGGCAAGTGCTTGATGATTATTTCAATAATTAAATCTTCACCTCAGAGAGGTGGATTGTTTTTATGAATGCTTGCCCCACACTATGAATTTATGATCGTATCTTCCTGTAGTGTAAATATTAAGTCAAGTGCTTGAGGATTATTCCAGTAATTAAATCTTCAGCTCAGAGAAGTTGGCTATGTTCATGAATTCTTACCCTGCACTATGAATTTTTGATTGCATCTTCCCGCAGTACAGATATTAAAGGTCAGAATTGTCCCTGGTAACTGGAGAAAATAGGTAACTAGTTTTATTGGAGAACAAGAGTTTCAATTTGTAGATTAACTAACAGAAAACACTGTTTTTTTTTTCTTTTTTTTTTTAGGATTAGCCAATACTGAAGAACCAGAAGATGCTTCTATGGATGTAGTGCCTTCAAGCTCATTAATTAAACCTGTGCCAAAAGAAGCAGTACCACCTATTGAAGACTCTGGCACGACTCTCTTAACACCTTCACCACATCTGACCTCGTCTGTCATAGAAGACCTTGTTAAAGACACAACTGCACCTTCTGGCTTGGACTCCTTGACTTCCAAAGTCGCAGACCGACTGGATGTGAGCCCATGGTTTCCAGACACCTCTGAAGAAAACGAGTTCATTTCTGAAAGTGGTTTGGGCTCTGGGTCTGGGAAAAATCTGGATCTGATTACTTGGCCACAGAGTGAGACTTCACCAGAGGAGACCACTGAAGCACTGTCAAAGTCGAGGCCTGAAGATGAGTATACACTCTTGCCAAGTGAAGGGCTAGAAAAATTACATATAGATGGCAGAGTAGATTCCACAGAACAAGCTACTGAACCTTCAGAGCATGGAGATAGTGATAAACCCACCAGTTTTGCAGAGGAAGAACCCCTTGGTGGATTTACTCTACCCATCTTGGTGGAGTCTGCAACTCAGGCCACATCTCTGTCTTTTCCTAAGCACACATCAGACGTACCAGACACTGATTCTTACTCAGCTACCAAAGCATCCTCTTTGCTGGCAGCTCTAACAACCTCTGCTTCCACTGAGCAAACAGAGGGAGTGAATACCCTTCTAAAGGAAGATATGGTGCAAACAGAGTTATCCAGTCATGAAAGGCTTCATGGTGAAATTTCGGTGGTGAAACCAGATATGCAACCTGTGTGGACCACATTGCCAGAATCAGATATAGTTTGGACACGAACTTCTTCCTTAGGGAAATTGTCCAGAGACACATTGGCAAGTACTCAAGTGAGCACTGACAAGCTCTGGTTGGAAGCTTCCATGACACAGTCAACTGAATTGCCTCCAACAACCAGCTCCACCCAGCTAGAAGATGAAGTAATAATGGGCGTACAGGACATTTCATTAGAACTAGATCGGGTAGGCACAGATTACTATCAGCCTGAGCTAACACCAGAACAAAATGGCAAGGTTGGTAGCTATGTGGAAATGTCTACAAATGTTCGCTACACAGAGATGCCTATTGTGGCTCAGCCCACAAAAGGAGGTGACTTGAGGCACACCCTGACTGCAGGAACATTGGTGGTGTTCTTTAGCCTCCGAGTGACAAACATGATGTTTTCAGAAGACTTGTTTAATAAAAACTCTTTGGAATATAAAGCCCTGGAACAAAGGTTCTTAGAACTGGTAAGCATAGATTGTAAAACATGAGTATTAGTGAATATCATGTGAATCCCTTCCTGTCCTCAGCACACTAAGTCAGAGTCCAGAGAAGTGGGTTTTTAAGGGCATTGATTTCCTCTTACCAGGCAGCATCATGGCTTTGGGTGATAGGTGAACAATAAGGCATGTGGATTCAAGAATTGGAAACATGGCATCAGAGTGATGTGAGGTTAGATGCTGAAGATTATATGGCAGGGATTCTGTGACTGAACTAAAATATGAGAGAAACTCTCAAACTCACTGTGAGACCCATCCTTTGTGGATGTTCATATCTTCATTGTTGGGGCCCTTCAGCAAAACAGAGGGAATAAACTCTAAGCATCTAGAATAGTTTATGAGTTCCACAACATTTCTAAATGCATCATGAAGATCTCATGATATTCATAATTTATATAATTAAACCATTCTTATTTATTGATTTTTTTAGTTGCTGTATAAAATAAAGATTTTCATTATGGCATTTTATACATACATATTGTTATATTTTGCTCACATTCAACCTTACATTCCATTCCTCTGTCTTTTACACCTTCCCACTAGTCTACCTCATCTTCCCAAATAGGCCTCTGCTGCGTTTATGTCTTATTTGTATATGCATAGGACATGGGGAGGAGTCATGCATGATATGTATGTACATATAACATGTGTGTGCTGTTAAATCTAGTTATTTATATGAAGAAAATTGGATACTTTCTCTTTCAGGGATGGAAGGCTTTACATTTTGTAGAATTCATACTAAAAAAAAAAATCCTCACACGAGCATTCTTTTTGTTTGCTTTTGTATGTTTTATTGTCTTTCTGGCATGCATTCAACTAAACATTAACTATAGGCAGTAAGCATGATCGTTTTGTCATTTCCAGTTGGTTCCCTATCTTCAGTCGAATCTGTCAGGGTTCCGGAACTTAGAAATCCTGAACTTCAGAAATGGCAGCATCGTGGTGAACAGCCGAGTGAAGTTCACTGAGTCTGTCCCTCCAGATGTCAACAATGCCATGTATATGATTCTGGAAGATTTTTGTACTACTGCTTACCAAACCATGAACTTGGATATTGATAAGTACTCCCTGGATGTGGAATCAGGTAATCATAGTGCCTATCATCTGAGACTTCTTGGTAGAATCCAGGTCTTGTGTGTTTTCTTTTCCATTGAGTCTAAGTAAATCTGATACTTACAGGAAGAAAAAAGTACTGCACCAGACACAGTCCCACATCTTGAGAATTAGTGCAATAAGTGTTTCAAGGGACTCTCACATGTCGAGGAGACAATGGTTGCTTACAAAGGTTTACGAAACAACCATTATGTTTACCTCCCAGGCCTTTTTCTACACATTCTTTCCAGGTCTCTTTCACTTACCCGGCTTTTGCTTTGTCTCTATGTTGCCATGACCCTAAATATGTCCTTTATTCTTTCAACAGATAATATATAGATAAACACTTTAAGTTTCTATATTGATTCTCTTTAAGCTTTTTATCAGTATCTCTGCATTTTTGTGTGTGGCTGTTGAACTTGGGGCTTCCACATGCCAGACAAACCACCGCTGAGCTAGTCCTCAGTCATCTGTTGTTTTGAGACAGGCTCACTAAAGTTATCCAGGCTGGCTTTGAATTACCTCTGCAGGATAAGCAGGCCATAAATTTGCAACCCCCGGTCTCAACCTTCCAAGGAGTTGGGATTACGGCCCTGAGCCTCAAATCACCAGGCCTTGCTTCACTTAACTCTGTGTTTCTCTGTACTGATCAGGCTTCTCTGAGAAGTATTATTTAATTGATGGACAATCCCTGCTGGAGTGTATTTGACATATTCTATGTATACTAAATTGAAAGTATTTAAGAGTGAATTCTTACTTCGTGCTTCCTTCTACTCTTCATTTAATCTATGCTTCTCAGTCTCAACCAGAAATGTAGGAAAATCTGGGAAGTCACTCTTGATTTGGTAGTTCCCATCACAGCAACGTTCAGCTGTTCACCAAGCTTACACTAATACTGAGTTACAAAATATCCCCAAACCAGGCTCTTATCTCTGTTGTCATGGTTACTAACCTATCCAAATGAACATCATATCTCAAACTGACCACTTCTTTCACTTCTCTAGCTCCTCCACCTGCCTCTTCTCCAGATAGCAGCCCTACCACTCTGTAAATCAGCTTTTAGATGATCTTACATGGCTGTTTTATGTGTAACAACGGCTGCCTGGTTCAAGGCTACATAGTCTGAACCCCATCTTCCTTCCTAGTATTACCCAGTGATCTAACTTTTGGCCCACCATAGTCCAGTCAAATTGTGTGTTTCAGGTCTTCAGACACCCAGATCTTTCTGTGGTTTTAAAGGCTCTGCTTATTACTTCCCCCTTTGCCAAAATATTTCCCGATTAGTTTAAGCCTTGGTTCAAATGTTGCTTCTAGAAATCCTCATACTCCACCCTGGAGTTAGTCTTCCTATAACACTATGGTCATTTCTCTGTAGAACGTAGCACACTTTTATAGTGTTATCTTGTGTGGACAGTGCTTAACAACCATTTCCCAGCTGAAATTTCCATGAGGACATGTGTCTGTTGCAGTAAGCATTTAGCCGAAACATAGCACAGGACTCTAAGTACCCGAGAGAGTATTCTCAAAAGGAACCACTGTTTTTGTTTGGAAGAACTTGGTGCAGAGAATACCACTGGAACCTGAAATTTTGTTTTATTTTTTCTTTCTATGCACCAGGGGATGGTGTTTTTGAGTAGGAATCAGGTGAAATGTCTAGCATTGTATTTCTGTCGTCCTTTTATTCCCAAACTTGTTTGAAAATGAGACCTACTTTTTTTCTAAGCTGGGGGAAAAATGCAAGCCTTCTTTCCTTTGAAATCTTTGAAGGACCATTATTCATTGCAAATGGGAAAATGATTTAGCTAATCTTTCAATATTCAAATCTCTTGTTACATGAGATCTTTGAGGTTGTTTGCACAGTCTTTGCTGTGTGGTGTGTGGAAGAAGCATTTAATTATAATTTGTAAGGCAAGAATGTTTGCCTTCACTCCATCGTTTATCATTTGCATGGCTCTAAACAAGCCATGTGAACTCTAAGTTGCTCATGTATTATATGGGCATTCTATTACCTGGCCTATATAGTTAATAAGGTGTGCCTCAGGACTAAACAAATATTCAAGAGTATTTGACTAGCTCTCTCTATATGAGCAGTTATGACTCTTTGTTCTTATTGTGATGGCACTCCTCTTCCAATTTCAAAGTTCTGGAGTTCAAACCCTGGGCCTCAAACATGTTAGGCTGGTGCCCAGACACTGAGCTATATACTTAACTCCTAGTCAACTTCTTTTTAAAAAGGATTACAATAGATAATCACATTGCCTTGTAGTGTCTACTCTATAGAAAAGAGATACTATTATCCTCTTCCTCCTACACCCATGAAGTAGTCACAAAGTTTAAAATTTTCAGATAGAATTGCTCTACTACATGCATATTTTAAATTATTATTGTTGCTTTATGTCAACATTGACTTAGGTAAGTGTGACTTGTATTTTATCTAACTTTTTCATGCTTAGTGTCTCCAAAAGTTTTGCTTTTATTAATAAAGGGAGATTATATGCAGCACCCATTGTATATGCTTCTATTTTTAATTATGGCTCAAAATTAGATTATTTTATGATTACAAAGTCACTATATAATTATTAGGCTATGAGGCAAATACCCAAGGAATGCACAGTGGGATCCTGCTGTGTAGTCTCTGATAGAAACTACCTGTGTGTGCTAGATAAGGTTTTCTGTATATCACCTGTCAGATCCAGAACAGTGAAAACATTTACTGATAAAAAAGATATTAATTTTTCTGGAAATGAAGAGACTACTAATTTTCGATCCTTTCTAGATAAACTCCAAACTTTCTCACATATATGTCTATGATCATTTCTAGCTATTAGCTCTATTTTCAATATCTCTGCTCTTGTTTCTCCATTTGCTGTTTACCCCTTGCTATTCACTATGGAAGAACCTATGGTGGGGCCATAGTAGACCCATCCATAGTTCATATCTTACATCACTTTTGACTGATTTTATTTTCCTAATTATCGTTTGTCCTCGTCTCTTACCCAATCAGCGAAAGAATATGTTACTGAAGACAAAATATTGTTCAGAATGGTCTGAGGAGGCCCAGGAATGATTTTCTTTTCTGTCAGTAGTTCCTGCAAATCTCAACCCCTCTCAGTGCTGCTCTTGGATATCCCCACCTAGCATATCACCATGTTTTCTAGACTCTCTTCTTATCCCATGAGCTCAGCATGGGGGCAGGCACACAACTGGGTGTGTAGAGGTGATGGTGTATTATTATGATACAGGTTGGGATTTTTCCTATGGTGGTTTGAGGGAAGAACTTTCTTCATATACCTTAGTTCCTGCACTTTGACTTTCCTCGTGTTCTCTGGTTCTTTCGATGCTTTAGGCGATGATGCCAACCCTTGCAAGTTTCAAGCCTGTAACGAATTTTCTGAGTGTTTGGTAAATCCATGGAGTGGAGAAGCAAAGTGCAAATGCTACCCTGGGTACCTGAGTGTGGATGAACTGCCCTGTCAAAGTCTTTGTGATCTACAGCCTGACTTCTGCTTGAATGATGGAAAGTGTGACATTATGCCCGGGCATGGGGCCATTTGTAGGTATGTTGCAATTAGAGATTTTGGCTTTCGAGGTTATATATACTTCTGAAGAAAATAGGTTGACAGAATTATTGTGGGGTAGTCACAATAATGTTTATTATGTCTGGCAATTAGATGGACACTGTCTGATTCTCATGTGAAGACTGGGTCACTCAATAGGCCTGAATCACATACTCATTAGAGTGATTTTACGCTGTTAGGAAGTTGTAAACTTATTTTTTGAATGTGTCCTACTGAGAGTACTTGGATTATCTGGAGATCTTTGTAGGCTGCTTTCAATGGGGATGATGAGATCATCATTCTTTAGGTAAGATTTATATGTAAGATCAACACTCTACATGCAAAATAATTTATTCTTTGAAGATTTATTTTATTTTATGTGTATGAGTGTTTTCCTGCCTTCAAACATATGCATCTTATACATTTATGGTGCCCACGTAAGTCAGAAGGTATTACATCCCCTGGGACTGGAGTTACAGGTGGTTTTGAACTGACATGTGGATTCTAGGAATCAAATCCTGGTCCTCCATGAAAGCACCAAGTGTTCTTAACTGCTCACGAGCCATTTTTCCAGCTCTTAATGACTTTGTGCTCCTTTTAGCATACTGAGTATTCAAGACTAAAGTAACACAGATAGTAAGGTTTTCAAAGTGACGGCAAATATATTTTCCCCGAGTCTGTGTAGGAGGAGGCTGCTTGTTTGTTTCTGGCCGCCCAGATAGCTTAGATCCGAAATGATCACACACAAACTGTATTAATTAAAACACTGCTTGGCCCATTAGCTCTAATTTCTAATTGGCTAACTCTTATATCTTTGTTTAACCCATCTCCATTAATCTGTGTATTGCCCCATGGCAGTGGCTTACCAGCAAACTTTCGCCATGTCTGACTCTAGCAATTCCATGGCATCTCTCTCTAACTCTGCCCTTCTTCCTCCCAGCATTCAGCCTAGCTTTCCCTGCCTACCTAAGTTCTGCCTTGCTATAGGTCCAAAGCAGTTTCTTTATTCATTAATGGTAATCACAGCACACAGAGGGAACTCGCACATCAAGCTTGAGATCTATTTGTAAAGGCAGAACCTCTGAGGAAACCATAGGCACACAACTCAAATAGACCAATGACCCTTTTCTCACCCCTGCCTGGAAAGAAACAAAAACAAACAAAAAAATCCAAACATACTGGCTTCCCAGCCACACATAACCACAGATGCACAGCTGAAAGAGGAGGGAATTCTGGGAATAGTCAGGAGGAACATAAATAAGATGCTAATGTGAGAATGTAAACATTGGCATAGACACTCCAGACAGAGAAAACAGCTGGAGGTGATTCAATGCTTTTATACAAAAAAGCGCAAGGTTTAACTAGGAGACTAATGGCAATTACAGTTTCTTGATGGCAAGGAAAATTAACATTATTTTACAAAGCAGTGATTTCCTTACTATTTTGGGGGTTGAAGACATTTTAGTGCAAGTCTGTTGACTTGAAACTTGGGAATCTCCTTAGGGTGGTCAGGGACAGGTGGGGTGTTAAAACTGCATTCTAGAAGCTACTAGTAATTGAGTGGCAGTCACCTTCCTTCCTGGCTGTGTGGTTTTGTCATCTGTAAATGACAAGGTTGAATGTAATATTTCTTTAAGCCTTTCATATTTTAACCAGCCATTTACAAACACTTGTTCAGAATTTGCTGGTCTATGTCCAGCATTGTACATTGACTTTGATCATAGCCTCATTTAACTTGTATGTCTGCTGGCAATGGAACCCAGGGTTTTATGTGCAGTACGCAAACATGCTACTACTGGCCTATAGCAAAGCACTCCCTTCAAGTCTTTAATGAAGATGTACATGATCAAAATTTATATATCCACCTTTCCCATTCCATTTCTGTTTGCTGTCATTTAGAGCAGAGTGATTCCGATCCTGAGTTTGGTGACTGTTTTTTACAGATGCCGGGTTGGTTCGAACTGGTGGTATCGAGGCCAGCACTGTGAGGAGTTTGTGTCTGAGCCCTTTGTCATAGGCATCACTATAGCCTCTGTGGTTAGCCTTCTCCTTGTGGTTTCTGCTGTCGTCTTCTTCACTGTGAAGACACTTCAGGCTCATAATATCAGGAGAGAAAGGCAGAGGCCCAGCAGGTAAATAAGGAAAGAGCTTCCTAATGGGACTGGATGCCTGTTTACTAATTGCTTACTATGTTCCAAGTACTGGGCAGAGAGCTGGGTGGAGACAGAGTGCTGGGAAGTTGAAGGAAACATCTGAAGCCATTTAGGTAGTCTGTGAGTAAGATGCTGAGAGGTCTGGAGGAAGACTGCGCTAGAGAGTCTTGAGAGTTTGGTGATTATCGTGACAGTGGGAGAGAAGAAAGTCCCTTTGCAGGGGATGGGTGGGTCTCTTTGTACTAGTGAGGGAACATGAGCCAGGTCAAGGAGGCCCTTGTGAATGTCTTGGTGCACTGCTAGAGTTCACAAGAGCTACTTTAGGTCAGTCTCCCCTGCCTCTGTCCTAGCTAAGGGACACGCCTTCCGAGAGCGCCAAGACAGACTTCCATCACTCTTAAGCTGAATTTTCAACAGACTGAGATCTTATTTAGGGCAAAGGCCAACAAATTTTTTGTCTCATCAGCATTTAGAGAGGTCATGGCACATAGTCTCTGCTCAGCAAATTTAAACTGAATTGAATTCAGTTGAGGCCCAGGGCTTTTCGTCCTCCAGTATTTGAATTTTTGTAAGAATTTTCTATGTGGTTGCATATGTTTATCTCATAGATGTTGCTCTGGAAATGACGGAGCTATGTTTATTTAATGAAATACTATTCACTGGCAGACATAGTTCCCAATCAATATGTGTCAGATACTGTGGGGAAATATCATGAGTGAAACGGTGTAGTAGAGACACCCGAGACTCATCTAGACCTGTCTCATAGTTCCCCTGACCCCACATCTATGTCTACTTCCTTTTCCCTAGCAGAAACCTTGTCCCAGAAAAATAGCCTTCGCATAGTTGAGCACCCAGGGGAGCTCTTTAATCAATCATGCATTTCTTCCTGTGGCTCCAGCAGCCAGCCTGACAGCCTGTCGTCTGTGGAGAATGCTATGAAGTACAACCCTGCATACGAAAGCCACTTGGCTGGATGTGAGCAGTATGAGAGGCCCTATAGCCAACGACCGTTCTATAGCTCAGCTAGTGAAGAGGTGCTTGGGGGTCTGAGCAGAGAAGAAATCAGACAGATGTATGAGAGCAGTGACCTTTCCAAAGAGGTAGGAGACTTCCATTTCCATCACCGCATTGCTGGTCTGTGTGGGCATGTATGCATGTGCACGGGGCTGGTCTATGTGAGCATATGTATGGGTGTGTGTGCATATGCACAGGGCTGGTCTGTGTGAGCATATGTGTGGGCATATACATGGGGCTGGTCTATGTAAGCGTGTGTGTGGGTGCGTATGCATATGCACGGGGCAGGTTCATGTGAGCATGTGTGTGAGCATGTGTGCATATGCAAGAGGCTGGTCTATGTGAGCATGTATGTGGGTGTGTGTGCATATGCACAGGGAAGGTCCATGTGAGTATGTGTGTGGGTGTGTGTGCATATGCATGGGACTGGTCTATGTGAGCATGTATGTGGGTGTGTGTGCATATGCACGGGGAAGGTCCATGTGAGTATGTGTGTGGGCATGTGTGCATATGCATGGGGCAGGTCTGTGTGAGCATGTGTGTGGGCATGTGTGCATATGCACAGGCCTGAAGAGATGATGAAGAATATTTAGGTTAGTTATTACCTGATGATGTCTCCCAGAGTATGCAGGGGGCATGAAATTTTGAGCAGGTCCTTACTCCCTACCCAGTGCCTTATTTTTCTGCCATTAGAAAATTCTCTATGCTTTCTTCATTCCTCACTTAGGAATAGATGCAAGAGTTAGGGTGCTTTATATATGATCTATTCAGAAATAGTTTTCCTTTCTTTTCAGTGGTGTTGGGACTTAAACCCAAGGCCTTGTACAGGCTAAGCAAGTGCTCTACCACTGGGTACATGACCAGTCTTCGTTCATAGAGTATCTAGAACTCTGTAGGTGGAGCCTTCTGTTTTGCTAAAGGGGTGTTTCTTTCTTCAGCTCTTTCTTGGGTAGCCCAGAACCTCACAATTCCTTATAATGATTAGATACCCTTTAAAAGGCAGCTAGGGGTTTTCTGATGCAATTCATAGCCCCCCTTTTTTCTTTGTTCAAGGAAATTCAAGAGAGAATGAGGATTTTGGAACTGTATGCTAATGATCCTGAGTTTGCAGCGTTCGTGAGAGAGCATCAAATGTAAGCATTGCAACAGCCCCGAGATGCTGGGCCTTAGTGGTTTGCCATAAACTAATGCTGCCAGTGTAAGCAAGTAATTACTGCCCATGTGTCAGGGGTCTTGTTAAATAACTAACCTTCATTAAATTCATCAGAGTTTTGCTTGTCCACAGAGATTATCTCATTTAAGTATTCAAATGGCTTCATAAGATAGATTTATCTTATGTGAAAAAGGAAACCTTGGAGAGATGATTTTTACTTAAGAGATGGTATTGGCAGTAAGTAGCAGAGAAGATTTAAAACCAACTCACACTGATGTTGGCCTAGAGCCTTGAGCTAGGTTATCATCTCTCTCTTGCTACCATAGATTTCACCAGGAATCTGATGCTATACTATATCTTTCATAGGTGGTTTCCATGGAATATCATAAATCTCCCATACTTTAACATAATCTTCCATTTGCTCCTCTGCAGACACTTTCAGTGGGCTTTGGACTACATTTTATTAAATGTGTCCCTTGCTTTCCTCAGGCTCCACTCTGTCTCTTTCTACTTGTTTTAATCATATATCTTGGGCAAGTGTCTGTCACTCTCTCTTTGGATTTTGTTCCCCAGGATTTCCAGTCAGGCATCAATTACAAAGATAAATTAGCCTGTAAAGAGACCCCATGGGCAGTGGCTGACTGGGGTGGGTGACAGTGCAATTAGATGTTGGTATTTGCTCCTTCTGGTTCCTCATGGATGGCTTCCAAGCCAGAGCAAGTGATATGTCTTTGTAAAAAATTAGGGTCAGGATAACAGCTGAGGTCTTGAGTAGACACCTTAACACACAGCTCATTCACTCAGAGCCTATGGTCAATAGGACACATTGCCGCCAAAGAAACTGAGTAAGATGATTTTTAAATTTCATATTCATGGTAGCAAGGCTTCTAAAGTCTCTCTGAGAGGGTGCTGGCGACCTCGCTAAATGCTGCCCCAGCAACAGTAGCAGTAGCTTGCTTTTAAACACCCACTCCTTCCTGCAGCGCCAACCAGAACAAGGCTCATCAATCTGTCTTAGTAGTAGCCAGAAGAAAGAATACAAACGTGTGTGTTGTATTATTTCCCAAGACCCTCTCTAAGTCCCTCAGAGATACTGGCCTGAGTGTGCTTTCTGAATTAAAAAATGCATTGGACCGAGGTATGAAAATACATGCCTGTAATTTCAGCACTTGGAAGGCTGAGGCAAGATGTTGAGAGGTTGAGGCCAACCTGGGTTGCGTGCCACAAACCTATCAAATAAATAAGTAACCAACTAAATACAATGTATCAGATTTAGATTAAGATAGTGAAAGAAAGAATTCATCCTAATTAAGGATTATGACTACATGCTTTGGTTTCTTCTGGTGGACTGCACAGCATTAGAATATATTTAAAAGCCCATGAAACAAGGCTAGCCTCTGAAACTAAGGACAGTGGAGCCAGGCCCTACAGCCCTAAGAGGGATGCTCCACAAGGGAGGAAGGTCACATGAGGTCCCACCCACCCCTAAGGGACTATGGGCAGTTAAGGGTTGCTATGGGAGGGGTGTCATTCACTTCAGTGATCTAACCACTGCCAAGTTGCTCACATTCCAGTAAATAACCTTCTACTCATGCTCTCGCAAGCAATCATAACTCAACAGAGTGGCCCATGCGTAAACAGAAGAAAGAATGAAAATAGGAGGGGCACTGTTGGGAAGAAGGGGATGGTGGGAGTGTGTAAGAGAGGGTGGTGTGCGCACACGTGCGTGTGTGTGAATAGGATCAAAACATTGTACTGTGTGTGGAATTGCCAAAGACTAAAAGAATAATAAAAAAAGGAAAAGAAAAACCAGGATTGCTGGTAGGGAGAAGGTGGCATTGAAAACATCCAGGGCACATGCTCCAAACAGCATTTCCATTCTCCATTTTCCCAGCTACCAAACAAGTGGCCCCACAATATGTTAATGAGATTAATTTAGGATTCAGTAAAAACTTGTGGCATTTGTAGAGATTTAAAAAGAATTAGCAGAGAGAGCATACACATGTGTGTACACACACGTACACCCCCCCCAAGCCTTTAAGAAAACATAGGAAGCATGGGTGGTTTACTGTAGGAGTCATGTAATGGTGATGCACTACAGTAGAAATATATTTCAGCACATTATTGCTTTTCTAATGAACTGTTCTTTATTTTCTCATGGCAGGGAGGAGTTTTAACTGAAATGCCCATTTATTGACACCAATCAGATGCTTGGAGGAGATGGAGAAGGCTTGTTACCTCTGCTATGTCATTAACTTGGAGTTTGAACGCTGATGGAAGAAGAGTTTTTATTGAAGAAGAATAAAGAAATGTAGGACATACTTCTCATCCCCACTGCAGCTTAAGGACTCCCCCCCACACCCTCCTGAGACACAGCTTAAGTTTTTGGAATGTAGCAAAAATTGTGATAAATGTTATTTCTATGAAGATCAAGAGATGTAGCTAAAGAATTTTAAATCAGTGTGAATTCTGATTTTGGGAAGTATTTTAAAAACAAACAAACAAACCAGAGTCAAACCAAAAACCTGAATCCAGACCCAGGAGCTGGGGATGCAGCGTTCTGACTCTGCCTCTCTGAGAATTGTGCTCTGGGCTTTCTCTTAAGAACGAAGGTGAGACTATTACAAAAAGGAGTCAAGCTTAGAAAGTCACAGCTTTGTGGTGTGTTTATTAAAGTCAAATGTGGCCTAGTTTTGTACCTTCCTGAGCACAACAATCGAGACCACAGCATTGTTAGCTATGCTGATACGGGCTACAGTTTTGTCCTCAACTTGACACACTTGCGAAGAGTGAAGTCAAGGAACTACATTCTTCAGATTGGCCTGTGGCCATGACAGTGGGACCCATTTGGTTACTAACTGATGTAGGAAGGCCCAGCCCACTGTGGGCAATAGCATCCTTAGGCAGGGGGTGGCACAGGAAAGGTAGCTGAGCCAGCCAGGGGAAGCTACCTGGTAAGCACTTTCCTCTGTGCTCCTTCTTCAAGCTCCTGCCTTGGCTTCCCTTTAAGGTAGATTGTAACCTGTAAGCCACATTAACTCTTTCCTCCCCAAAGTTGCTTTTAGTTTTAGTCAGTGTTTAATGACAGCAATAGAGGAAGCAAAGGACTGTGATACCCTATACTTTAAGCTTTCAGGGGTAGTACCCACAGATGACGTTTAGTCTCAGACAAAGGGAATCGTGTGGGCATTGAAGGGGTGAGTGTTAGATAAATGACATGACAGACACACTTTGCAGATGGACTGACTAGACAAAGTCATTACTTAATGTTCCCTGACTGCTTTTGAGGTGGGATGGTGTCTCAGGCAATTCAAGGATCTTCTGTAGTTTCTGGTGTATGAATCTGGAAAATAGCACTTGGAAACTTGGAATCTGGAAAACGATCTCACCTATCACCAGTGAGGCTCATCTGCTACTTCTCTGTGTAATGCTGTTGTCTAGATGAAATCCCACCTACCCAAGCAGGTTAACGCTTTGGGCGCAATTAAGATAGTCTTAAAATTGTCTAGGTTGGAAAAGTCCATACTTTACAAATTGCAATTAAAAATGGAAGTTTTTCTCTTTTTGCCTATGGTTATTTTGAATGGATAGTGTGGGGGAAGGTAAAGGCAAAATAATCATGATGATTAATTTAAAGGCACACAGGCAAAAGTTCATCATTAATTCAAGCAGTTTATGAGAACACCTTCAGGTTTGCTAAAACTTTCCTAAAGTTTGTTATTTATTTTGGATCAGGTATACAATGGCTACAAGATAAAATACCTGATTCATTTATTTTTCTTAAATTGGTTATTATAAGTTTCATTAATTAGGAGATCAGCAAAAACTGGAATAGGAAGAATGGACAACTTAGTATAAGAAAACAGGAACTTAGGAGACTAACTTACCTTCATTGAATTGAGAGGTTTTAGCCAAGAAAAATATGGGTCAGTTTTTCTCCCTCTAAAATGTTTCCAATGATTCCCAGTTAAAATAGGTGGGGCCAGCTTTCATTAATAACCCAGCTGCGGTGAGTCAGTATTCTAGTTCATTCTGTCCCCAAGTGTGCCGTCAATGCAGAAAAATGATGTAAAGATTACAATCCTTAAACTGAGAGTATTCTGTCCCACAGAGTACCCTGCCTGGAGGTGGGAAGATGGGAACGTCTTATCACATAGTTGATGATGTAAAAGTTTGCCTGTAAAGTTTCTTTGACTTATGCATTTTGTAATATGTGACTGTTCTTACAAGTCAATAAGAGACAAGTAAAGCCACTCCCCCCATGACAGTAAGCCCCTGACTTAAATATTTCTCTCAACTACATAGTACTATATAGCCTAGACCAAATGATTATGAATCCTGAATTTTTTCTCTTGTATTTGATTAATTAAGGGCATAGTTGGGGAGAAATCATGTTATAAGAGACTACAGGTATAATTATATGTCTGAACTACTTGGTGATTTCTAAATAGTAAAGTGCATATCCTAATACATAGTTAATATTGAGTATGGTTAATGGCATACTGTTCTTTTTAATTTTATTTATAGCAGCTTATCCAACATGTGATCAAATTCAATTTACTATACTATTTTCTTGAAAGTTTATAGTCTTAATATTAGTTGATAAGAAATAAAATTTAAGACTTTATGTATGTATAAGGATCCTTCAGTTCTCATGTATATAACCATGGTGTATCCATTAGTAATAAACATGTCTTTCAAGAACTTGCCTTTCATTTGTCAATTAGAAAAACAATGGTATCTCTTAGCAACAACTGAATTGCAGACACCATTCAAGATGTGAATGCCTTGAGGAGATGAAAATGACTCTTTGATCTTAAGGAAGTGAGATTAGGAGAATCAGACGTGAAGCCGGAGCCTAGCTGCTGTCTGAATTTTGTTGATAGTTAATGACACTACGTCATGATTTGGCTTCAGTCAAGCTTTACTCTTTCAAACACTTTCAGTTTCCTCATATGCTTAACTCATCAGTGGAACCAAGACT